TCTCTCTCATTCTCTCTCTCTCAAATAAATAAAATCTTTAAAAAAAAAAAAAAGAACCCAAGTTCCAGATTCTCTGGCTTTCTTGCCGCAGACCTAACCAGGCCTGGCCCTTGTTGGGCAGATGGCTCCCTTAAGCTGCATACACCCTCTTCCTTCAAAAAGCCAAACCAAAAACAGCCCTTAGTTTTATCAGAAAGCCCTGTTTTGGGTATGCAGTTTTCACAGACTTGAACTTTGATTCCCAATCTATGATTGGTTCTTACCAAACTGATTGATTCAGCTCCTTTGAGAAGTCTCTGGGTGGGATAGGAGGTAGGGGTAGTTGGCAGGGCAGGATTTGGGCGCTCATGTCCACATAAAAGCACCAGATACTTACCCTTCATCTCTCGTGTGCTCTGTGCAGAGGCTTGGCTCCACCTTCAGGCCTGAGTTACCTGTGGGATGACCAGGTGTGTATGAGAGGGAGGGGAGGAGTGCACCTGGTGGCTGGGTGGGTGGTGATGTGATGGTGCTGTGGCCACAGGAAGAAGCCTGGAGCAGAGTCGGCCTGGAGGGTATGTATTTGGGGGTGCGGGGATGACAGAGGGTCATTTCCCGTGCACCTGCTTCTGTGCCGGGCACCCATCCCGTATTCTCTCATTTAACACTCCCAGGACCCCAGGAGCCTGTATTATTAACCCCATTTACTGGAAAGGAAGCACTCGTAAGGGTTCAGGTTATCTGTCTGTGGTCACTAGCTAGTCAGCCGTAGAGCCCAGATTCAAGGCTAGTTCTGCCAGTCTTCACAGCCTAGGAATATTGCAAGAGGTTTGGGGAAACCACCCAAGATTATCAATTTTCAGTTCTGATTGTTTTGCTCGGGTGAGACATGCCGTCTCCATGCCTCCTGTAAACATTTGTTACAAGCGCACTGGTGCCGAGCCCGGGAGCCCATCGGCTGCCTTTGTGTTGCCATGGCTGCAGCTCTTAGGGCCACCTCGGCACCATCCACCCTCCCTGCAGTGGTCCTTTTACTTCAGGCCTTCTGACTGCCCTTCACATGAGGTCCCAGATCCTTGGTCCTGCCCCATTCATTAGCAGGAGGGCCTCCATCTCAGGCTGGATATTGCATCAGACCTGAGTCCTTGAGAAACTGGAACCTTAGCTCGGGGCACTGGAATTAGTGACCGATGGCAGCCTGTATCACAGGCTGGTTTTATATTTCTTTGGTCTTAACAATAGTGCAGCTGAGGGGAGAGAGTGCAGAATTTGGGGTCTAACTGACTTGGGCTTGAATTTCAGTACTAGAACTTACTTGTAAAGTTTTGTAAACATCTCTCGGTGTCTGTGAGCCTTGGTTTCCTTTCTAGAAATACAGGACTCATAATATTTACCACGTGTGCCGTCATTAGGGTTAGAGATGTTTTATGTAAAAGTGCCTTGACACGTGCGTGGCTCAGCTTGTGCTTGGTAAATAGTAGTTTCTGTTAGGAATGTGTATAATAGAAGTACTTTGTACGCTTTGGTGTCCTGACTTTCCTTGAGGCCCTGACTTATGCTGAGGGCCCACAACCACCAAAAATATACATACACACAAATTTGCATAGGCTCCCAGGGACCCATTCAGTGGACCTCAGATTAAGAACCCCTAATCTCGAGGAATGACCCAGCTACATGTCCTATGTGGGATTTTGGAACAGGTCAAGTCTGTTAGTTTGGGAGACACGTGGGAGAAATGGAGCACATTAGTCACCTTTATCACTTAAAACATGCAAGTTTTTAATTTACGTACCTGAATTAAAATTATATAAGCAAATGAAATGGGAGAATGGAGGAAATTACTGTTGTACACACACATATACACTAGAACTTGAACCAGACATTAAAATAATGGGTCTGATAGGTGTTTGTGCAAAGGAGAGAACTGCATCGGGGAAATGATGTAAGTGGACCAGTAATTACTGTGCACATCAGGGCGCCTGGGTGGCCCAGTCGGTTGTGTCTGACTCTTGATTTCGGTTTAGATCATGATCTCAGGGTCGTGAGATTGAGCCCCGAGTCCGGCTCTGTGCTGAGTGTGGAGCCTGCCTGAGATTCTCTCTCTGCCCCCCTCCCCCCAAAAAAGTAGGCCTGATCTTTTTAGGATGGAAGGCAGATTTATTGTGAATTTAAAGATGTACCAAAATGGCTTCACACAAGATTTTCTGGTCCCTGTTACCCGGTTTTCATAGGCAGGTTTCTAAAAGCAAGTGTCAGATGACTGTAGGTGGATGGGGGTCATTTCAAAAGAAATCCAAATTCTGGCCATAGTGTGGAAGTGAGCTGAGAGGCTTGCAATCAGAGTTGGAATCAGGCAGGTGCTGCCCCTTAGTGACTGTGATTGTGGGTAAGCTACTTTACCTGAGCCTGTTTCCTCATTCATAAAATGGGAGCAATCCCATCTACCTCTCCATCCATCCATCCATCCATCCATCCATCCATCCATCCATCCATCCGATATTTACTGAGCGCTGTTCTGGTTATCTGTTGTGTGCCATTCCCAGGTGACGCTGATAATGTTCTAGGGGCTGTGTTTTGAGAATTCTGGTTCTTTTTGGTGGGAAATGGTATTTAGAGACTATAGTCTGGATACTGGGGAGGATGCTGATTTTAGGCTTTCTCAGTGAGAGGAAGGAAATAACAGAAAATAAAAGTTCATATTCATATTTTCAACTCATATTTACAGTGACATGTTTTAACTTAATTTTATATTTGTATTGGTATTCTCTTAGGCTTGTAGTCTTGGTTCTTATCACATTAATAATTACTTATTTTATACACACACACACACACACACACACACACATACATGCACACAATTCCAGAATACCAAAACAAATATTATTTCTTCCAACACGATTACTAAAACAGTGTAAGATTTTCTGCAGTAGTCCCTTTTGTCCTTGGAGAAATATCCCACTAGGGGTATACAAATTACTCTTTTTTTTTTTTTAAGATTTTATTTATTTACTTGAGAGAGAGCACAGAGGGAGAGAGAGCACCAAGGGAGAGGGAGCACCAAGGGGGAGGGAGAGGCAGGTTCCCTGCTGAGCAGGGAGCCCGATGAGGGACTCGATCCCAGGACCCTGGGATCATGACCTGAGTCGAAGGCAGACGCTTAACTGACTGAGCCACCCAGGTGCCCTAAATTACTCTGCTTTTAAGTTACTGAAATAATTTCTTTCTGTTTGGTTAACCAATCAACCTGATGTACAGTTAGATTTAGTTTCTGTTTGTTCGCTCTGCTTCTAGTTTTAGGAGATTTTTATTTTTTTTTTTCAAATGGTTATCTAAACATTTAATCGGCTTCAGTGTTACATCTGTAAAATGAATTTTTCTCCCTCCTTCTGCCTTGTTCTCTTTTTTTTATTTCCCTATAGACAACCATTTAATTTATTTTATAGTTAAGTACATGACAGTATGTTATATATACTTTTTTTTTTTCCTCCTGGGGTCCTCTTGACCCCTGCCTGAGCAGTGTATTCTGAAGATTACTTTAGGGCACAGTGTTTATGGAGTCCTCATTCCTTTCTCTTGATCGCTTCAGAGTGCTCCATTGTGAGAATGTACCTTAGTTTATTCCTCTACTGGTGAATATTTGGGTGGTTTCCAGCCTTTTGCTATTATGGATAGTATTTCAGTATTCCAAATAGCATACATCCTGAAGTAGCTATATCACACTGTTTACTGTTGGTTTGTGTTTTTCCCCTTAACATTATGACACAAGCATTTTCCATGTTAATTGTAAATGTCATTATTTAAGATCGTTTTTTTTTCTGATTATGAAAGTAATACAGACTTATTTAGAGATTTTAGAAACTCAGAAAAAGAAAACAATAAAAATCAATCGAAAGTCCCCACAATCCCTCTATTTAGGTATACTGTTATTATTTTGATGTGTCTTCTCATAGCCTTAACAATCTTTTGTATAAACATTTAGGAAACAATTGGCATCATATTATATAGTGTCTTGGTTTGTTTTTCCTCATAATTATGCATTTTTTAAAAAAGGTTTTACTTATTTATTTGAGAGAGAGAGAGAGAGTGCGCGGGGCTGGAGGTGGGGGTGAAGAAGAGCAGAGGGAGAGGGACAAGCAGACTCTTAGCTGAGCAAAGAGCCCGACATGGAGCTCAGTCCCAGGACCCTGAGATCATAATCTTAGCCGAAACCTGAGCCGAAGCTGAAAGTTTCTAGAGTCAGATGCTTGACCAACTGATCTATCCAGGCATCCCATAATTGTGCACTTTTTAAAAATGCCATACTTGGGGCATCTGGGTGGCTCAGTCATTAAGTGTCTGCCTTTGGCTCAGTCATGATCCCAGGGTCCTGGGATCGAGCCCTGCATCGGGCTCCCTGCTCAGCGGGGAGCCTGCTTCTCCCTCTCCCACTCCGCCTGCTTGTGTTCCCTCTCTCGCTGTGTCTCTCTCTGTCAAATAAATAAATAAAATCTTTTAAAAAAAAATGCCATACTCTTTTTATAATTAATTCCTTATTTTTAAAAAATAATTCCCTGCTGTTGGATGTTTAGTTTCTTTCTGGTTTTTCACTATTGTAAATAATGTTGTGATAAATATCCATGCATAAAGCTTTTTCCAGATTTCAGCTTATTCTTTTGTTTATTTTTTTTTCAAGATTTTTAATTTATTTGGCAGAGAGATAGTGAGAGCAGGAACACAAGCAGGGGGAGTGGGAGAGGGAGAAGCAGGTTTCCCGCCGAGCAGGGAGCTCGATGCGGGGCTCGATGCCAGGACCCCGGGATCATGACCTGAGCTGAAGGCAGACGCTTAATGACTGAGCCACCCAGGTGCCCCGATTTCAGCTTATTCTTAAAGCTGGTTTTCATCAGACTTTAAAAGAGAAGGAAGTGCACATTTGTTAAATACATCTATTAGCTTGCTCTCGTATAGCGGTAAGCAGGTGAGAGATGATCATCTTGAAGTGTTTGTCAAATAAGTTCTATTTTTTCTTTTTCTTTGGGTAGGACCTTAGAAATGAAGTTGAGAAACTACGCGATGAAGTGAATGAAAGAGAGAAAGCCGTGGAGAATCATTACAAGAGTCTTTTGAATGAAAGTAATAAAAAATTACACAGTCAAGAGCAAATGATCAGAAGTCTAACAGGAAGCATCGATCCAAAGGACTTGTTGCTTCAGGTACCATACTTCTTTTTCTTTTGTATTTCAATCTGTTGACTTGGCATAGGCTATTTTCTTTAAAAACTCTTTTGCAGAAACGTTTATATAAAAATAAAGCTGGCAAACATGATGATAGTCTTCACTGCTTTGTATCAGAGCATCAGAGCTTCCTTTATGTCCTTTGAGCATCAGCCACCAGCAAGAAGGGAAGGAACTTGTTCTGGCTCGTATGACAGGTCCGGCAGAGCCCGACTGAGGCTCTGGCCTGTTCCGCCCTAATGGCCAGCCTGCTTCACTGAGGTATTTGTGCTGGGAGTGTGTGCTGCTCTGTGGTATGCCAGGCCCTCTCACCCCCCTGTGCTTTTCCTATAACTGTCCCCATTTGGTCTTGGAATACCCTTCGTGTTTGATTGTGTAGTGAAGTTTTGATTTAGTGCAGGCTGACAGGTAATCATGGTAGATTCAACATGGGTAGTTAGCTCTGCTTCCTACTGGAGCCTTGTTAAAGTGACAGTGGAGGGGTGAAAGATACAAGCCCGCAGGACTAAGAGTACTCTGCTCCCTGCCTCTGCGGTGAAAAGCCAACAAGAAGCAAGCTGGTGTGTCCTGCAGAACCCAGAGAGGCTCAGCAGGCAGTGGAGGGACCTGGTCCCTTTGTAACCAGGAGATCTGGCTGGGATGCTGGGCAGTTAGGTGACCTTGTTTTCTTCACTAGCAGGAGATGGGGTGCTTTCCTCTCTGGTGACCTTAAACCAGAGAAGGCCTGGCCTGGCGGGGTGGGGGGTGGTCATCAGATACACCTGAAGGCAGGAGTGGGTCTCTTGAATGAAAACGGGAGTGGAAGTGTGCACCCCCAACATTGAGGGTCCTCCGAGGGGAGAAAAGACAGTTGGGTGTCTTCCAGCAGAACAGGCACGTCCTCACCTGCTCCTCTCACGGTGTGTGTGCCACCGATGTGCTTTTTCTGCACTCGGAGCTTCTGAGCACTTTTCCCTTCAAAGGTAGGTGGACAGCCTGAGCTCCCCAAACAGGGGAAAAGTATATAGGAGGAAAGACAGAACAAGGCTGTGTAGAGGCCATAGAAATGGAAGGATGAGAAGCAAACAGGCCGCTTTAAAAGAACTCAATACCATAACATCTTTAGATAAGAACTAAGACCAGGATCTGATAAAAATGCTTGGAAAAGAAGAACGAGCTATTGGAAATTGAAAGTATGATTACAGATATAAAGAGTTTAGTAGGAGAGTTAGAAACATTGGAAGATAAAGTTGAGTGAGGCTTCTAGAAAATAGAACCCAACAGAGAAACAAATGGGTGAGGAAATGAGAGGAGGAGGCCTGACCCAGGAGTTCCAATACGTGACTGACAGGAGGCCCTGAGAGATGGGGCAGGCAGAGCAGAGGGAAGGGGGCCCTCAAAGCAGTAGGAGAGCTTGCAGAGTGGAGGGACAGACCCCTGTGCATTAAAAGGGTCCCCCTGTTTCTAGCACAAATAATGATGAGATGTCCACGCCCCGAGGCACGTCCTTGTGAGATCGAGGCACGCGGTGATAAGAGAGAATCTGAAAGGTTCTAGAGCGAGATACAAAGGACCCAGAGCCGGAGTGACATCAGAATCCTCAGCAGCAATACTGGAGGCCAGAAGGCAGGAGAGCAGGGCTTCCAGATTGCTGAGGAAGAGTGATGTCCAGCCTAGCAGCAGCAAGAGTGAGGTCAGACAAAGCCATTCTCCCGACATTCGGTGCCAAAAATCCTCTGCCTCCCAGGGACCCCCTGCAGGGAACTCCTGGACAGTGATCCCATACAAATGAGGAAGAAGCCCAAAAGGAGAGAGACATGGGATCCAGCAAGTAGGGGATTCTCTTGGGATGTGGTGACAGGAAGGCCCAGGATGCAGAGAGCTTGTATTGGAGCTCTTGAGACAGGGCCTCAGTTGGGATTTCTCCAAGAAATGGAGATGGAACCCGTTTTTAAGTTCTTTTAGAGAGCTTAGAGATAAATCTACATTAAGTACCTAATTTAGTTTTATGAACTAAGTGAATAAATAGAACAAAGCAGTTGTTACTGATTCCAAGGAAAGCAAAGAAATGAACACGAAAGGAAATGTAATCACGGAAGGCTAGGTGGGTGACTCATGCACAGTGTTTGTGTGGTCATAATAATGTAAATGCAGACTGTCGATTGAACTGAAATTGTATTGTAACTATCAGGGTAAGTGCTGGTGGGGGGGGGCAGATGTTATAAGAACTAAATCCTTAAACTTCTATGGTAGGAGCCAAGAGATAAATCTTAACTTAAGAAGTCAGTGGGACACGTGGGTGTCTCAGTCGGTTGAGCGTCTGACTCTTGATCTTGGCTCAGGTCATGATCTCGGGGTCGTGAGTTCAAGCCCCATGTTGGGCTCCACACTGGGCGTGGAGCCTACTTAAAAAAGAAAAAAAAAAAGTCAAGCAGTGTGAGAGTAGTAATGTAATGTAAATAGCAGAAGAGGCTGAGGAGTTGGAAGTTATTTTTTCCTGGGAGTGGGACCCAGAGGTGAGAAGTGTGAGGCAGTGGGGAGGGAGAGCTGTTTTCCCTGTAAGCTGTGCGGACTGTTTGTTAAACAATGTGTATGTATAATTGGACTTTTAGAAAAGGAAAATGGAAAGTGTGAGTCAAGCACAGCTGTATTATGGCAATTCTGGAAAGTCTGTGTTGATGTTTGATTTCTAGTTTTTCCTGTTTATAGTTTAATAGGTTTTTATAAAAAGTTGCCTCTGTTTCTTTCGTGTTTGTGCTCATCTAATTTCTCATAAACATTTGACGTGATGAAGTAATTCTGATAGGTACTTAGGAAGAAGATGTGGTTCTTGCCCTTAATTTCTGACCTAGAGTGGACAGAGACCTCGTTAAGGAGTTACTAGGTTTTAAATAGTTAGGAATAGATTTTATGCTTGAACTTGGCCAAAAGACCAGAGAGACGGTCTCCAGTCCTGTCCTGTTGTTGAATGCCAGGTCTTCTGAAGGGGTCAGTGAGGTGCATCATCACGAAGGACCCTTTCACATGTGACCAGACCCCAAAACATTTACAGCCTTTCTTCCTAGAAGTCAAATCTCCTCGTAGATATGGATGGTTCAAGTTTTGTCAAATTTGTGATGTTTTGAGAGAGACTGGGTTTTGTTGGGTTGTGATACGCAGTTCCTCTAATCACCACGGTAACCCCGTAGGCTAGGAAACAGACCCAGAGACCACACCTTGGCCGAGGGGGACCCAGCATGGAAACCCTGTCCCATGGAGCCAGGGCCTGGGCTTGGTCCTCCATCCCCACCGGGTGGCTGGGGAGAAGGGCGGTGGGGAGAAGGGCGCTTTGTAATGACCGCCACCACCCCTGCCTACGCCATGGCTGTGGGCTGCTTTTCCCCTGGTGGTAAATAACAAATGCACTTGCATTATTTTTGTAATCGCCTACTATTTGGGGATGATGGAAATTTTTTCGAGGAAAATGATGTCAAGAAAAAAATAAGATATTTTCCCTTAAAGAGTTTTGCATAATCTGTTAATATTTTTTCTCTTGGTGAAAACTTCCTCATGATTTGTTTTGTTTCCTTAGAAATTCAGTGAAAAAGGGTCGGAAGCAGTACAGCAGAATTGTCCTTCCCAGACTGGCGGGGAGCTCAGGGTCAGGACTGAGGGCTTACCAGCAAAGTGCTCTTTGCAGCGGTCACCAGACGGACACCGCATCTTCTCGGAGGTAAGCTTGACTGGACTTGGACGTCCGCAGGTGAATTCATGTTCTTTCTGACATGTGTGTGATAACTCCTCTTACCTAGAGCCCCTCCAGTTCCTTCCTGCCAGTGATTGAACTTATAAGCGGTTAGGAGGAGGGTTCTTAGTCTGTCCGCCTTGTGGGTGAGTACCCTTGGGCTGAGTGCTGGTATTTGCACCACACAGGAAACTGGTAAATCACACTCGTTAGGGATGAGCCTCGTGTTTGCTGTCCCAGGGTTCACCTCTCAACTGTGTAATCTCTGTCTATGTCATCTCTATGTTAAGAAAATTTTCCTGTCCAAATACACACAAAAACTGGCCCAGCAGACCCTTCCTGGTGTGGCCTCAGGTTGCTCTCTGTCATCTCGAACTATAGCTGACTTCTTGCAGATTCCTGAAAACACTGTGTTTGCACCTCTCCCTGTGCCTTTGCGTGTGCTGTTCCATCTCCTGGAACAGCTTTTCTCTCCTTGTTTGCTGGGTGACTCCTGAACATCCCTGAAAGTACCCCTCTGGTGTCACCCTTCCCTGAGCCTGCTTGGTAGTGACATACCCTCTTCCTCCCTGGGACTCGGCACTTTGCACGCTCATCCTTGTGTTGATGTTATAGGATCCACCTTCCTGCTGCCCCTCACTCGAGCCCCTACACACCAGGGATGGGCACCTCGGCATAGGGAACTAGGATTCGTATCTAAATCCCAATGCCTAGCCCAGTCTTTGGCCTAGTACATAAGTGTTTGGTGAGTGAATGAATGATTAGACTGGCTTGGGAGGGATGCATACAGATATGTTCTTGCATATAATGCAGCTTGGCAGCCAGATATGGGAAAGGGAAGGAGCTCATTGTAGGCCAAGTTTTGTTTTTTTAAACCTGGCTTTAATTAAGTTCATACATTCAGAAGACGGAGAACTCTCTTACGCAAATTAGTTCTTTGATGAATGGCTCCGATCATGACTTGTGGTTTTGTGAAGGGTGATTCTCAAAATAATTAACCGGTGCAGCACGGGCACAGGCATCAGAACAGACTCGGGCAGTAGGGCCGGGGTACCGGCCCCCGTGCCAGGGAGCAGCCCTCTAGTTACTGGCTCTTGGAGAGGTCCTTGAGGCCCTTGAGGGTGGTTGGGGAGGATGGCTCAGGGGTCATTCTGCGGCTGGTGCCGTGTGGTAGCCAGTACTAGCCATCGCACTGTGGACCAGCTCGGCATTGGCCCCGGTCTGGAGGGCACTGGTGGCTGGCAGTGGGGACTTTTTCTCAATTCTCACCATTCATGGACTTGCATTTTGCCATTTCTCTTGAATAAAAGTGTCAGCATAGAGTAGTGGAACCCCTGGGCTGGGCCAGAAGCGGGGAGGCCAGGATATTTCTCTTGGTTCTGTCACCACCTGGGGGATGTCGAGCATGTCCAAAAACTAAATCTCAGGGGGCTAATATTTTGTGAGTCAAGCTTCCATATAGTTACTTGATTTTGACCAAATTTAATTGGGTGTTAAGATGCACACTAACCTGGCGGCGCCTTGGTGGCTCGGTCAGTTAAGCGTCCAACTCTTGGTTTTGGCTCAGGTCATGATCTCAGGGTCTTGAGATTGAGCCCCCACATGGGGCTCCATGCTCAGCATGGAGTATGCTTGAGATTCTCTCCCTCTCCCTCCATTCTGCCCCTCCCCTGCTCACACTCTCTCTAATAAATAAATAAAATCTTAAAAAAAAAAACCTGTAATAAGGCACCGTTCAGTGTTTTGAAACAAGGTATCAGCCTGTCAAGGTGTTTTTAGATGGACAGATCCTCACTGATGTGAATGCATTTTGTCAGACTTTGCTATTTTGAATCCTGTTTTGGTCATATAAAATGTGTCGAAATGTTGAAGGAAATGTTTATAGATTTATTGAACAGGCTGAGTGTTTTACAGTTTAATTTCACAAGTTTGATCAGCTACCACTTTTTTGGTTTCTTGCGCTGGGCGCTGTCTGCACTTCACAGAACCACACGTAAAAAGTCCTGTCATTTTCGGTTACATTTAGATCCTCGTGATGTTTCAGTTACTGTGCAAAATGCCCTAGTATTTTAGCAAAGACTTTAATTCTGTTCTGCAAGACTAATTGCAAATTGTGGATAAAGAATTATAAATGATCGTTTTGGAATTATAAATTTCTAGGTGCCCGTCTACACAGTCCTAACTGTTGCAGCCTATGGTTTTCTTCCCCTCAAGAAAGGTGTGCTGTAGTTTTTTCTCTGTAGAAAACGTGGATTTCTCCTGCTGTGCCCTTGGCCACTTCGTGTTGATTTAGGGTTTATCCTCTGCCCATTTCTACAAAGAACTTGAGGCTGTGATGAGGTCTCCACGGACTCGGGGCAGTGTTTTTTGCCTCTAATAACTGTGTGATCCTGAGAATTAATGCTGGATGATCAGGGAATTGAAGAACAGGGAGGAAAGCACACTGACCGTATTTAACTTGCTGCAGCCAGAGATTTATAGCCTGGCTATTGACATGGAGGGACATCACTGCTGAATTTCCCGAGTATTAAAATAAATGTCTTTGTTGCTGAGCTGTGACATAGCTACCAAAGTAGACACCATCCATCTACCAGGCCACTAAATTGCCCTGCTTACCAAGAAGTGAGCCATTAAGCTTTCTCTTTACATATCTGCTATGTCTTCAGGTTGTGGTCTGCGTATTACATGTGTTTCCTTCAAGTCATTACGGAAACGATGCAGAGTAGGGAATGCTCTGGATTTGGTGTTGGAATGTCAGTTCTTCTTCTTTCTAGCTCTCTGACCTTGGGCAGGTCACTTAATCTCTCTGAAACCCACCTTCCTGATCTGTAGATGGGGGAATTGCATGCTTACCTCCTGATAGGATTGGAAATAATCCGATGCATTAGTTATTAGTTAAGACTCTTCTGGGTGTAAGCTGTAGGATCCAACATTGAGTAGTGTGGTCACAGCGACAATGGTGAAAGGGAGTATTTATTGGGAGTGTGCTGGGGGCTCTCCCAGGTGCCCGGGGAGAGCTGAGTAGCCATGTCTCAGGGTGAAACTGTGGCAGCCCCGTGGACAGCAGAAGTCTTAGACTCTGGGACTCTGTGTTTGATGCGATGCACACCCAGCATCCCAGACTTCTGGTTTCTCAGTTGAAATCTCTGAATCTGGAGAGAGAATCGTACTGGTTTAGTGTGAGTCCCGGGGGCTGGCTCACTGAGAGAGTGGTCTTCCAGTGTCTTTCCCATGTTTTAGTTTTCAGATGAGACAGGGGAATGGTGGTGAGCTGGATGGTCACACCAAGGGCCATGGAGAACAAACTACAGAGTCAGACTCAAGTAGTTGTATGGCGGTCATGGTCTTCTTTGGGATGAGAGCCCCCTGTCTGGGACGTTTCTTGTTTGGAGGGGCAGCAGAGGGGGTTGGGGGTGGCTTGTTCCTGCTGAGCAGGTGCTTCTTGTCACTCCCCTCGGGGCAGCCTGGCCCACTGCCTCTAGGCCGAGGAGATCTACTGGTTTGTCAGCTCTGCTGAGGGAGCCAAATGACTTCATTCTGATGGGGCATGATTCAACGCAGGGGAATAGGTGATTGATGAAATGGGACCCAAATGGCTCTGAAGAGTTCATTTATTTAACATGGGTGAGCTCTTTGCTTCTAGGAAGACATTGACTCACTCTGACTTCCATTATGCAAAATAGCCACAGGAATCTCTGTTCTTTTTTTAAGATTTTATTTATTTATTTGAGAGAGAGAGAATGAGAGAGAGCACATGAGAGGGGGGAGGGTTAGAGGGCGAAGCAGACTCCCTGCTGAGCAGGGAGCCCGATGCGGGACTCGATCCAGGGACTCCAGGATCATGACCTGAGCCGAAGGCAGTCGCTTAACCAACTGAGCCACCCAGGCGCCCCAGGAATCTCTGTTCTTAAGATTCACGTTGGTCCCTGTGTTTTCCTCTTACCAATTTAATCATTGGGTCAGCAAGTGTCTGTGGCAGCATTTGGTCTGCACCAGGTACTGTGCCTGGCTTGGAACTTGGCTGCCCGGAAGGGGCCCACGGACCTGTCAGCGGGTGGTCGGTACACTAGCTCTGGGTGAGAGTGAACCAGAGTGCCCTGGGGGCCAGAAGAGAGCATTTCTCTCAGTCAAGGAAGGCTTCCTGGTGAGAATTTGGCCTAAGCAGACCCTATAAAGTGCTGGGAGTGTGTCAGTGGGGAGGGGTGAATGATGGTCTGTGCAGAGGGGGAGGAGTTCCCCCCTGGAGCGCAGATGGAGGGGTTCCTTTGTTCCACTGAGAAGGAAGAGCAGGGAGAAAGGAAGTGCAGGTGTGGTCAGCTGGCAGGTGGAGGGTCGGGGCTTAGGAGAGCAGGTTTGGAAGGACTGCCAGCAAGAAGGGTAGAAGGGGGCGGAGCCAGGCCTCCAGGCCCTGGCCTTGCAGGGCAGTCCTCTGGGGCCCGGCCCACCACCATCCAGTTAAGATACAGGGGCCGTGGAGTCAGGATTGTTTCACTGGGCACACGCATTCCACACCTGGAGTCTACTCCATCCAGCAGAAGTCCGTCTTTACCCGTTTTCTTTTCCTAGCCCTTCTTGGCTGGCTTTGAAGTTACATACCGAAGCACGAATTCTGACTGCCATTTATTAGCTGGATGGACTCAAATATTCTTTTCTCAGAGAATCAGTTTCTTCATCTGAAAAATGGGAAGAATTGATACACCTCCCTGGTTTCATTTAGAAATATGTGTAAAGCTCCTTAGCAAAGCCCCAGGACATAGGAATAGAAGTTATGGCTGACATTTACCAAGTGTTTACTTTGTGCCAGGCATCACTGTGAGAACTTTGTGTAGATTAACTCATTAAATCTCCACAACCCTCTGAGCTATGTAGACTCATTACTTTCATATATAGGAACGAATATTGAAACACAGAGAGGTTGAGGAACTTGCTCAAGGTCACACAGTGAGGTTGCACACTGTTAACCATCACTGCCCTTCATGGTAGGTGCTCAAGAAGCAATAGGTTTTTTTATTTTCTTCGATGCTTTTGGCTGCCTTTTACTTGGTTGATAGTGACAGTGTGACCCTGTCAAGCACCCCAGTGCTTTGCATCCACTATGGACCATTGATGGATGGACTGAAGAGCACAGGCCTCAGAGCCTGGGTGCCTGGGTCCACACCCTGCCTCTCCCCCTGACCTTGGGCCTGCTGGTGGCTTTCTGTGCCACAGTTCCCTCTTCATGGAAATGAGGCGAGGGGTAACACCCAGGCTCATTGGGTTGTTGTGTGGACTCGACAAGAAAAAGCCCAGGGCGCCCTGAGCATGGCGGCTGACATTGTCTTGTTATCCTGTTAAATTCTTCCCCGGGCTCTTCTCTGGGACGCTCTGTCGACACACATGGTGTGTACAGGTGGGAGCTGAGAGAGTTCCACATGACACCGTCACTGTGCACGAGAGGCATATGGGAGCTCCTTGTGCCAGTGACATGTGGCATGATTTACAAAAGGGCCTGACATTTCTAGCAGTCTGGGTAACTAACTTATCATGACCAGACTGGTGGTTTAGCATTTGCAACCCTTCCCCTTAGCAGGTGGTGCCTCTGCCTTGTTTTGTTCCGGGCTAGAAGCATAGCAGTGTTCCCGCAGGTCAGGGGCTCATGACCTTTTCTTGCCCTCTGCATCCCTGCCATAGTCTGATGAAGCCAGGGATCTCTTCCCTGGAAAAGGATTTAAATGCATAAAATATATGCACAGGATTGTAAAGGAAACCAGTTACTTTGAAATTCGGTCATCAGAATATTTAAAAATATGCTCTGGAAGTGGTGCTTCTTTATTAATGCGTTCAACAACAAGATTGCATGTTGGGTATAGTGACTGCTATAGTTTTGAAGTAGTGATATGAATAAATATTTTAAGATACTTGAGATACCTGTAACGTACACAAAGTAACTGTTTCTTTTGATGACCGGGTCACAGGAAAACACGGACACTGCTCTAGCAGCAGTGGTATTCCTGCAGTTTCCGTGGGGTTAAGAACCCCTGTCCTAGGTGGTATCTTAACTCCAGGACAAAGCCTAGGTCAGCGTGAACTACAAGGGCTGCTCGCAGTGCCCGACTACCCATACTGAGTGTCTCCCCCCGAGCATTCAGGGAGCATTGGTCCATGCAGGACACTGTGCCAGATTTTCTGCAAGTTAACTCTTGATTTTCACATTCTTTTCTTATTTTGAAATAATGTCAAATTTAGAGGCACGTTTCAAGAATCAAGGATTTTACTTTTCCCAAGACATCTGAGAGTAAGTCGCCCATGTGAAGCCCTGTCACCTCTGAATACTTTAGTGTGTACTTCCTAGTAGCAGGGACACTGTCCTGCGTAACCCAGCACAGCCATCAGGAGTGGGGAATTAGCAGACTCTTCACTATCTGCTGCCCCTCAGACTCGCTGGTGTTCCACTGCTTGTCCCACAAAGCCCCTCGTAGCCAAAGGACCCAATTCAGGATCACACGTTGCTTGCTCTGTCTTGATTCTTTAGTCTTCAATCTGGAAAAGTTTCTCAGTCTTTCCTTGACTTTCATGCCCTTCATACTTTGGAAGTGTCCAAGCCACCTATCGTAGTGTCCTTCAGTTGGGGTTTGTCTGATACTGCCTGGTTGATTGGGTTCAGGTAGGTGTCTTTGGCAGAAATGTCCTCTCGTTGTGTCCTGTCTGATGGTACACGACTTAGATTTGTCTCCTTGCTGGCCATGCTGACTTTGATAACTTTATGAAGGTGGTGTCCGCTAGGTGTCTTGACTCTACGGTTCCAGTTTTTCCTGGTCATTAATAAGTATTTTGAGGTGTGTTGAGTCTATGTAAATATCCTGATGTTCTTCAGACTTTCACCCTCTGGTTTTAGCTAGTCACCTCAGGTCACATGGCTGGTAAGTAGCAGAGATCCATCTCAGCTCCCTTGGTCATCATTCTGTTCGGGATGCCTTTAGAGGGTGGCTCAGTTGACCTTTTCTCCCTAATACCAGGTTTGGGTTGATGAACTTCTTGTCTTTGGAGCAAGCACAGGTGTGGAAAGGCACTGTTTGTAGTGTTGAGAAAGCGATGACCAGCAGCTCTGAGGCTGTGTGGGGCAGCAACAATGCTCCTCCTATAGCTGCTGTTCAGTCTTGGAAGCGCCGCTCTCAGCTTTGTTCCGAGGGACATGGTGACAGTCATTCCCCCACTCCTCCTGCAGGTGGTGCTCTCTGACTGTGGCCTGAGCCAGGGCCTGGCACCCGGGATCTCCTCCGTCTGGATTTATAAACTACCCACATATGTTTGCATAATATCAGGATGTACTCTTTTGAAATTCTTCCCTTCATGTCAGATACCCATTGTCATTTCCAGGAAAAGCAGCAATTAGACTATGAAGAGCTGATTCAGGTCTTAAAGAAGGAGCAGGACATCTATACTCATCTGGTAAAATCTCTGCAGGACCCAGACAGGTAAGGTCACTGTTTGGACTTCATACACATATGCAGACACATGTATTTTGAATAAATATGCTTGGTGTCTGAGGCCGCAAAGCCTTCCCTGTTTGCTTAGGAAGCTTAAAGTGCTTGGATGATGGTTGCCTTACTGAAATCACATACCCATATTTTATATCAAGAATTGTCTGATTTGGGGCACCTGGGTGGCTCAGTTGGTTGAACATCTGACTCTTGATTTTGGCTCAGGGCATGATCTCAGGGTCATGAGACTGAGCCCCATGTCGGGCTCCACGCTCAGTGCAGAGTCTGTTTGAGATTCTCTCTCTCCCTCTCCCACTGCCCCTCCCCCCAGGCACTTTCTCTCTCTCTCTCAAATAAATTAATAAATCTTTCAAAAAAAGAACTGTCTAATTTTTGGATTGTTTGATTTTTTTATTCTAATGAACACAGGATAAAAATAGCGTAATAATAATTACTCGTTTTTATTGTACTTTATCACAGATTTAGAAGGTGCTTCCATGTGTATTATCTCATACGATCCTCATAGCTGTTCTGTGAGGTAATATTGTTAACCCTGTGTTCCATGAGGCCGTGGACACTGAGAGAGGTTAGGTGACTTGTCCAAAGTTACACCGGTGGTGAGTGACCACACACAGGGACTCAAGCAAGCTTCTGTGTCCTGGACTGATTTGCATCTTTATAGGACTGCTGAGATGATCTGGTGCTAGTGAGGGGTGGTGATGAGAGCCTGCTGTAGGCGCGTGGCCTTGCTCTATCCTAGCTCTGTGTCCACAGGCAAGTGGGCCCCTCTGGGCCTCTGTTTGCCAGGGCAGACTTGGTCTAAGTGATTTCTCACATTACGACCTCCTCTGTCTACACACGGGCTAGTTACAGGTGAAAGGATACAGGGTCTGGGGTTCATTTCAAAACCGTACAGAAGCAGAGGAAGTGGGTGGGGGTACTGATGGAACAGGAGTGGTCAGGGCTGGGGTGTGGATAGATGGGGAGGGGCTCGTGTATGAGCTTGTCTTCATTTGTATATGTTTACAAATCTCCAGAGTAGAAAGTTAAAATATCCCCCCTCGCTGCTCCTTCTCTGAAGTCTTTCACTCCGGGGGATGGTCTTCAGTGTTGCAGGCTGCATGCCCTCCTGCCTCTGCCCTCGCACGGGCCCCCACACCCTACCATTGTCTCCCAGAGGCCCTTGAGAATTCGTCTGGAGGGCTGCCCTTGTGAGGAGACTGTCGTCGCTGTTTGTCTGCCCTCACAGCTGCCCCGGCCACCCTTTGGGCGCTTGTCTGTAACCAGCCTACCCCTCGTCGGGGCCGTGCGCCCCTCAGGGCTGGGCCCTGTCTCCTCAGCAGCTCCCATTTCCCAGCGCCTGTCGCCGTGGCTGGGGTAGAGTGGGCACATGGGATGTGTTGAGTGGATGAGGACCCCCCCCCCGCACACACACCCGTGTCCAGTCTTCTGAGATAGGAGATCATTTTCAGATTTGTTGATCTGAAGTGAGTTTAGAGAAAACAGAAGCATGCTGATGAAATTCTGGGACTAGGCATCACTCTCTAAAAATGAGCCTTTTCCAGAAGCCCTGGCTGCTCGGCATTTCTGCTCGGGGAGGGGCGAGTGAAGCTGGGAACTGGGGTGGGGGTGGGGACGGGCCAAGTCCTAGGCAGCTCCTCTGGGTCCTGTGCTGCTTGGGATGTTTCACAGCATCTCAGCTTTTACTCCTGCTTCCAGAAGCGCCCTCCCCTGCCCCGGCATGACGGCCAGCAGTGTCTCCAGATAGTGCCACATATCTCTCGGGAGGTTAGATTGTCCCCAGATGGGAATCACTGCTGTAACTCAGGAAAATCAGAAAGTTTGGCTTACAAACATCCTCTTTTGTTTGGGAGGCGCTCGGATATGTGGGAGGAGGGAAGTGATGCCCATTGAGTGTCTCCTGTGTGTTTGGCTTTATGCGAAACTCTTACCCAACGCTGGAAACAGTCCTGAAGGGAAGGTTTTATCCCCATTCCACAGATGAGGAAGGCGGGCGGGACTCCGGCAGTTTAACCGACCTGCCCGAGGTCGGCAGCGGGGCCGGCAGCGGGGCCGGCAGCGGGGCCGTGTGGAGCGCTGCTCCGTCTCATCTCGGCTGCCCCCTCCTCCTGCCACCCTGCGGGAGGAGGACCGCACGAGGCCCTGGAGCTAGGGAAACATAAAGGACAGGCGCGGGGCAGTGGCTGTGTACTTTTCACCCTGTCAGAAAACGGAAGAGGGAGTGAAGCAGTCCGCCTTCCTCAGCCCTGATCGCAGCAGCTTGGCTGCAGCAGTGTCCTTTCTCCCCCTGCTTAAGTGTCTCTGCAGCACGACCGCATCCCGGCGAGTGCTGTGACACCTCTGTGAGGTTTTCCATCAGCCTTACCAATGGATCATTATGATTGTCTCAAAATGGAACTAGGTGCAGGTTGCTGGTGGGGCCCCTTCCCTGGCAAGAAGACTGCTTCACAATGAACCGTTGTCAAAGCGGCGAGCATAGAAGATTAGACATAATGGTTTATTTTCCTTCCGATATATGTGGATTTATCTGTGCAGTTCGATGGATGGAGCTGGAAGAAATCTCTGAAGGAAGAGGGGGGCTCGAGTCAGTAGCACAGACATTTGGAGCAGTAGCTCCTAGCCATTTTGGGGCTCTGGACCCCTTTTGAAGAATCTGATGAAAGCTAATGGGCCCTCTCTTTAGAATCATCCACATATTCTTAAATTTTTGCAGATAGTCTCAAGGTGTTGATGGACCCTCTTAGGGAACTATAGGTCAGACACTGGACAGGGAGTGATGTATTTCTCAGCATTTAAAAAAAGGAGGCTTTCTGATTTGTTAATGTGTTTTGCTGGTCTTGAAAAATGTTCATATACTTTAACCCAGTAATTGCACTGCTGGGAATCGGGCTTAAGAAATGAACCTGAATGTGAAAGGCTTTAGGCACAGAGATGTTCAGGGAAACATCATTTGTGTTATACAGATGTTGGCTGGGGTCTCTGTTCCTCTGAGAGCTGGGTGCACTCAGGTCAGATCCCTGCCAGGTGCCACATCAGGAGGAAGCCAGAGCCCATCTGGTGGGTCTGTGCTGCCCAAATCAGTAGCCACTAACCAGGGGACTATCGACGTTGGAACGAAGAAAAATTATCCATTCAGTTCCTCAGTATGTTAGCCGCATTTCAACTGCTCAGTAGGCACACTTAGCTAGTGGCTACCGTATTAGTGCATGTACAGAGTACTTCTAACTTCCAGAAAGTTCTGTTGAACAGCACCCCAGGATTCCTGCAGATTCTGGGAGGTGTGCATTTTCATGGCCTTTTCTGAATTCTGGGTTGCCGGTCTCACGCAGACTCTGTGCAGGTTACACCGTGTCGCACTGACCCAGATGTGAGACTTGGCACGCCCCACCCCGAATAGAAATCCATCACACTCTGTGTTTGTGAGTGGGGCTGACCTATCAAAGCAGAGTTCTGTTGGCCCCTAAATTGGTCCCTTCCTCCCTGCTATTATCAACTCCCTCTCTTTTCTTTTTTCACTTCCTTCCTGCCCCTCAGTTTCACCCCCAGTACCATGTCTTTCAGGAGTGACACATTCACTCTTCTCCCTCGTCTCCTCTTTTGAAGCTTGGTGCCAGGTGACACTGAGGCTCTGGAGAGCCTCCCCTTCCACACCCAAGTCCTTGCAAGGCATTACTCCAAACAGAGAAACAATCTGGGGAATGACATGATTTCTCCCTATTTACACCTGTAGCAAAAACTTGGAAATGACCCAGATGTCCACTAATAAGAGGATGAGTTCAAGTAAACGGTGGGACATTCACCTGATTAATATTACGTAGTCATTGAAAATGATGCTTGTAAATAATTTCCAAAAATGTAAGGAAATATTTAAGAGAGGAACACACAATTCAGTGTCATACGTCAAGTATTATTTTCACCTTGTAAAAATACTCAGGGAAGAAGAATGGGGAGGAAATGCAGTCTGGAGGCACCTGGCTGGCTCAGGCAGTAGAGTGTGCGACTCTTGATCTTGGGGTTGTGAGTTCGAGTCCCACGTTGGGGAGAGAGATTAATTAAAAATAAATAAAGTCTTAAAAAAAAAAAAAAGACATGCAGCCTGCCCCATGTTAATTGGTAGTGGGATCCTGGTAGTTCTTGTTTTCTTATGCTTTTGTATTTTAGATTTCCCATAAATGTGTATTTACTTGTATAACCAGAAAAAAACCCACTGATGACCTAATAATCAAGGGGAGGCTGGCTGGCTTTTGTATCTTAAAGCACAAATAGGTCTGTTTAAAAATGGCTGGTGTCTTCGGGTGACCTATGGATGTGTTGAGTCACCACATTTATTCTACACCTGAAGCTGATATTACCTTGCATGTTACCTAACTAGATTATAAATAAAAACTTGAATTTTCTGGTGTCTCGTTTTACCAAGTATCAACAGCCTGCAGGCTGAGTTAAACGGCATTTTCGCTTTACGGAAGCAGCTGGAGCAGGACGTGCTCTCCTATCGGAATTTGCAAAAGACCCTGGAGGAGCAGATCAGTGAAATTCGGAGGCGGGAAGGTGCGTGCTCTCTTGTATGTGTTTCTCTCTGGTTTTCCCATTGTGGAGGGCCTTGCTGAACTTTAAGAGAGTCTTAAAACTCTAGTAGGGGATGAGGAGCCCACAGGATTTCATCTGGGTTCCTCTTTTTTGTGGTGACCGTGTTAATGTTGGCCCTGCCAGTCTGTGTGTGTCTGGCTTTGGCCGTCATGGAAGGGGTCAGCGTGTTGTGTCCGTTTGCCTAGTGGGACACCCACTGCAGAGTCTGGACCACACAGACATGTGGCGCTGAGATTGCTGTTTCGTGGTGAAACTTTGCTCTTAGCAAAGAGCACGCACCACAAGTGGATTCCTTAGGGAGGGCTACAGGTCAGGGGCCTGTGGTCCTAGCATTGCTGTGCTCAACACAGCAACACTTGGCCCTCTCCCTTACTAGAACCTGAGCCCCTGCGAGTCTGCAGCGGTATCCTTTTGCTTTCTGTCTCGAGCCTGGTACCTGGCACATGTGGGTACAAGAATTTGGTACTAGCAGTGGTGGGCTTGACATTTCTGGAGCACCTGCTGTGTACAAGGCACAGGACCAGGCACTTCATTTCTCATCTCTCTGGTCCTGACGATCACCCTATTGGCCGGCGTCAATTGGCCGGCGTCAGTGTTGACTTCATTTTACAAATGAAGAAACTGGGGCTCCGGTTGGGGGTGGGGGTTGATTTACCCATGTTCGAGCTAGGATATCTTCCTTTGAAGTGTAGCTCTTTCTCGTACATTCGGTATATCTGCTCTTATCCCCAGATTGTTAAATGAGGTCGTGTTTGTAGACATGCGTCATTCAATAAATAGCCTGCCCTTCCTCTGTGCCTTCCCTCCCTATTGGGGTGTGACCTTTGGCGCAGAGGCAACAGACCTTTATGCAGGTGACCAGAGATTCTCTTATCTTAGATCTAGCAGCCAATTTCTGCACTTGCTGTGCTCATGACCACAGCGGGCTCTGGGGCCAGTAAAAAATACATCAGGCACTTTTATTTCCCTGGAGCGCTACCCTTGAGGGTCATGTCTTAATTTTCCTGTATTCTCACCTAAACAGAATCACTCCCTCATTTAAACTGAAATCACCATTCGCTGGTGCCACTCAGAGTGGTCTCTAGGTACAACACTTGATATGCAAATTATAATTCAGAATAGGCCACCGTGAAAGCCTGCAGCCCATGATGAAACCATACGTTGAGATACCAGCCTGTAGAGAAAGAGGGAAAAAGTAAATTTCCCTCTTTCTCTACAGGCTGGTACATTCAAGAGGTGGTACATTCAACTCCCTATTTGTACTTATTCCCCCTTGTAGCGACCCCCCCCCACCCCCGCCCCACACTTCTCCCAGTTCAAATTGCCTTATATGGATTATACTAGGATTGGGCTTGGAAGGATCTATTTCTGATATTCTTTTTCTCCTCCCCCCTCACCGACCCCCCCCCTTTTTTTTTTTTTTTTGCAGAAGAACCATTTTCATTTTATAGTGATCAAACATCTTATCTGAGTATTTGCCTTGAGGAGCCCAATCGGTTTCAAGTGGAACATTTTTCTCAAGAAGAACTTAAGGAAAAGGTATTGACCTGTTAACTTTCAGTCCTTTGTTGGTTATTTGTTGTCTCTTGGGTGTCTGATCTGAGGTGTAAGAATCTGGAAGCCCCTTTCCTCTCCTTTTTTCCCTCTCTCCCTTCCTGTCTTTGCTCTTTGTTCCTTCTGTGTTTGTTACCTGGTGTGCCCTCCCCCGTGCCTGACACCCTCCTTCTCAGACTGGAGGACCAGCCCACGCTTGATCTCCTCTAGCAGATGCTCTCCAGGCCCTCCCTCAGGTCATTCTCCTCACCTCTTGTACCTAACTGTATTGATGTCATGCTCATACTGATCTGTAATCATCTGGTTATTTGTCTGTATCCCTGCCAGGTTGTGAGCATCTTCAAGTTAGTGATTGTATCTTACTTATTTTTGATTTTCCAGTACCTACCACACACAGTGGGAGTTAATACGTGCTTTCTGGAAGAGTAAAGATCCAGATTTGATAAGTAAATCTTTTTTTAAAAACTGGAAACCAGGTTTCTCCGTCTGTAGGTTGTTGGTGTGATTAGAGTGGTTTAGTACTTCAAGATCCTGACAACCACTGATAAGAGTAGGAAGTGTGAGCTCAGAGGAGACTGTGATTTATTATACAGTTATCATATATGTATGACAGATTCAGTTTCTGCCTTGGAATAATTCACATTCTGGTAGAGTGGTCAGATGTGTAAACAGGTGTTTGCAGTGTGGGGTCCAGGGGTTGCTGAAGTAGGTGGATGTGCAGGGGAGAGGTAGCAGAGGAGGAGAGGTTAATTGTCGGGGGTTGGGGGGTGCTCATGATCAGAGGCAGCTTTTCAGCAGAAGTGAGGCCTGAAGTGGGTTTTGAAGGATGAATAGGAGTTTGTCTAGGCAGAGGGCCTTCTCTGCAGAGAGAGAGAGAAAGTAGGAGTAAGGTACTACAAGTAAGGAATAGAAAGGAGAATTAAAAATTTCAGTATCTTGAGGAGTGGAGCAAGGAGCATTGAGGTGTCTCAGTTTTTGAAGATGAAGAAAATGGGGATGATGCTAGCAGCTGACAGTACCTCCTGTGGCAATGTTTCAGGGCAGGAAGTAGTTCACGTGGTTGGCACTTAGTGTTTCTAGAATGTTTTGTTCTTCTCACTACAACCTCGACAGTTGGGTCCAGTTTGTCTTCATGTGTTGCTGTACTGGACATCTGCTGTGTGTAGTCAGGGGGAGCTTTCCCACTTTATTTGGAGGGGCTAATGCTCATTCCATTAAGTCTGCAAGATTACTAGCCATTGGGGTTTGAGGCTTGTAGGGAACAAAGGTGGTATCTGCTTAATTGCTGATGTACCTGGTCTAGCAAGACCTGTGCCTTAAGGAGGAGCACTGGACCGGGAGCCCTGGGACCTCAGCTGCAGGCCCGCTCCGCCTTTGTGGAGGCAGCTGCCCTTTCCCACTTGGCGAGGCACTTTGACTGTCATTATATGTCATTTAATTCCCCAGACGTCCCCAGCCGTGGGGCCTTGGGCAGTAAACTTCTTTGTATGTCAGCTCCTCACTGTAAAATAGGAATAGTCATTCTGGCCTGTCCACCTCCTCAGGATTTTTGTAAGGAATGAATGACTAAAGCTTGTGGGAGTATTTTAGTAGCTATAAATCGCTTTGTAATTGAAGATGATTATTATTACTGACATCGCTAGGTAGGTATACAAAGAAGAAGGTCGATGCTCTAAAAGGAGGCTCTGACACAGTCTCAGAAATGTCAGTCTCGGGGGCTTGTCCTCCAGGGGGCCTCAAGTACCAGGCAGAGGTTGTCTTAGCTGTCATTGACGGGGCACGTAGCCTGTGCCAAGGACCTCAGTGCATTGTGACCGTGATCCCGATCAATTCCCACATTGGCCCATGCCACAGATGAGGAGGTGGAGGCTTAGCCCAGGATTGCCTTGGAGGGGATTAGAATACAGGCATGCTGGTGTTGTTTTCACCGCACCCTGAAGACTGGAGTCAGGCTGCCGGATCCTTGGTAATTGTGGTGCTGAGAAGCCTGCTCGGTGGGAAGGTCTGTGTGCAGGGCCTGGGCCCTGGGAAGCCAAGGTCGGCTGATGGGCAGCCACTTCTCTCTCTGCTCTTATCCCCCAGGTCAGTGACCTGATACAGCTGGTGAAAGAACTGTATACAGACAACCAGTACCTGAAGAAAACCATTTTTGATCTCTCCTCCATGGGTTTCCAGGGAGGTGACAGACTTGAGTCAACAGAACAATCTGAGGTGAGGAGAAACAGTTGTGTTACGTGCTAACTACAAAATGGTGCCTTCCCCCCGGGTGTTTCCAGACTGCATCTATCCTGAGGAGGCCCCTGGTGAAACTCCATTTGCGGGATGTGCTTTCGAGGGCCCTGGTTGGTCAGCAGCCTTCCTCAAAGTTTGGGGTATGTCTGCATGGACACACGGGATATGTTTTGATAGCTTTTGACTCCTGAGTCCTGCCATGGGATCTGTGCTGCAGATGGCACATCTGGATGAGTGGTTTGGTCTCGGAGGGATCTGGAGAGTTGCCACATCACCCAGGTAATTTGGGTGGTGTAGATGCAGCTTTAACGAATCCATTGAAAAACAGATGAGTAAAAATGAGTAAAACAAATGAGAATTCATCTGCTGAGTTTTGTGCCTCTTCTCACTCTCATGGCCTTGGGACTGGTAGATTTGACCGGACGTGTGTCATCCCTTCCCTCACATACCCGGGAACTCCTGCACTCTGCCTTGTGCAGGGGACGCGGCGGGGAGTTGACAGCCTGTCCGAGCAGAGCCCTTGGGCCACGGGAATTTTCTTCTGGTGGCGTTTGAAAGTCCAAAAGAACCAGGAAAAGTTAAATCATGGTGTCTCCACAAGGACCACAAAATGGCATGTGGTTTGCTGGGCTCATGTACTCGCCCGCGCAGTTAGCCCTCCCACCCCAGGAGAGACGAGGGAAGCCTCATCCGGCCCGATCCCTTCTGGGTCTGTGCTCGTCTTTGTGGGGTGCGGTCTCCGACTCTCCGTTCTTGGCCCATGTGTACAGCAGGGGGCCCTGAAGTTGTGCCAGTGAGGAAGAGCTTGTTTCCTCCCTTGAGCCCATGACTCCCCCACGGGCAGAGCCTGGCCCCGGGCCTCTGTTAGCCTTTCTCAGAGGACTGGAGCTGTTCGCTTACTCCCAAAAAGGAGGGCCTTTTTGTCCTTGGGTCCTGGGCCCCTCAGGCTTCTTGGTTAGGGTTGTCTTGAATTCAGCCTAGCTTGCCAGGTAAAGGAGGTGTCGTTGCCACATTCTGGGGAAAGATCTGTCAGCCTTAAAGCTGTCTCCTCCCACCCTCAAAGGGGGAGCCGCTCACAGGTATTTATGCTGTGCTCTGGCCATCTGCTGTCTTTGAGAGAGGGAATGTTATTGATCTTGGCCTCCCGGGCTCCAGATAATTTTGGAAACTAAGAATATCTGCAGTCCATTTAGGGAGAAACAAGTCTCTTGGTTTGTTTTCTCCAAGGCAGCATTTTTAATAAGCAGCTCATTCTTCACCTACTTCATTTGAGTCGTAAATGGCGAGTTTGTTCATTTGCCCTTTGAAAAAAATCTGTTAAATGTCCCATTATGTCCTTTGGAGAACAGAGGCTTTTTCCTCTTCCCACTCTGAGATCTTAATACCAGCCGATTCCAATTTGAATCATTTTTCAGATTGCACTTCAACTTGATCTTCCCTGTGAATAGCCTTGTCCTGTGTAGCCGTTTCCCTTCTTCCCCCGGAATGGGGTGGGAAGGTCTGAAGATCCGCGTGGGAAGGAAGCTGTTCTCACAGTGATCTCGAGCTAAGGGAGGAGAGGTCGCTTGGGCGAGGGTGGGATGGCAGAGAGGGGAGGCTGCTGTGCCCTGGGTGTGCGTGTGGTTCTCCTTTGATGAGGCCAGGAAATGCCCAGGCTGTCCACAGCCTTTTCTGAATAGCAGGACTTGCAGAGTGGGGGCTGGGCACCGTTCCTGCTCCCGAGAGCCTGTAAATCAGAGAAAGGGCGGGGGGGGGGGGAGCAAATCTATTTTGTGTTTTCAAAATTCAGTATTTTTCTCCAGTATTTAATTAGCCCCCAGCATTGGGTTAAAGTAGAGAAAAGAAATTACCCCAATCCTGTCACTTTCAAACACACACAGTTAATTTAACATTTTGGAATCCTTCCTTCTCTGTGTATATAAACATGTGCAGGCCCACAATGCATTTACGGTTTTGTTTCCTGTTTTTTCTAATTGCTGTTATGTTATAGCATCTTATGTTATCTTATGATTTATCTTATGAATGCGCTGAAATTTAACTACCCGCCTCATTATTGTTGGGTATGTAGATTGTTACCAGCGATTTACTACTTTAAATTACCTGATGAATGTCTTCGGACACAAATCTTTTTGTGGATTTAGGGTTTGTTTTTTTTTTTTTCCTTAGACTGTATTCCCAGATATGTAATTGCTAGGTCAAAAGTACAGATAGAGATGGATACAGCTTTAAAATAGGCATATAATTTATTTTCATGTAGCCTCCCCCTGCAACTTTTAATTTGACGAAAGGTATAAATAGTAGGAGGCCCTTGATGTAGTTTGTCAGGTTTGTCCTCAAAATGGTTGCCTGGAATGGGTTCCCTCCAGCTGGATGAAGACAGTGCTTACTCCTGCATGTGGGCGATTCACTTCAAAACCAACCAAACAAACAAGACTGAGGACAGGTGTCCTTTGGTTTTTAAATGGCATTAAAATAATCTCTAATCAGTTTTCTCCTCTTTCTTTATGTTTATTTACTGGTTATTAATTATAAAATGTTGTTGAGAATTGATGTACAGGAGTGATTGGAACAGCCTGCAGTCAGAGGGGTGAGCCTTGCAAACCACAAACCCTGTGATGTGTGAAACTATCCCCGCTAAGGGGATACATGTGTGAGTGTGCAGAAAGAGCTAGTCTCTCTTATTATTTACTTATGTCATCAGTTTTCGAAATAGCTAGAAAACAAGACTTTTTTTTTTTTTGGCATGGAGGGAAAACAGGGATTGAGGGGCATAATTTAATTGAACGTAGGTATTTGAAGGGCTGCCATGTTGAATAAGAAATAGACGTTGTGTGACTCTAGAGGACAGACATGGTACTCAGAAGGAGGAGATGCTTGTTAAATTCTGCTATTAGTAGCAGAATAAAATTTAATTTGTCAGAAGCAGATTGAATTTCATTAAAAGGAGGAGGTTTCTAAGCGTTTGACTTCATAAGTTAGGAATTTTACATGATTTACAAAGAGCCCTTGGCACAGTGCCTGGCACGTAGTAGGCACTCAGTAAAACAGTTAATTTAATTTTTTTGGTAAGTTAGTGGCAGAGTTGGGACTAGAACCTTCTTCTGATGTTGTTCAGTGTTCTTTCCATGACACCATGGGGCAGTGCTTCTGAAGTTTAACGTGCGTGTGACTTTCCTGGGCATCTTGTTAAAATGAAGATTCCGGTTCCGTGAGCCTGGCGTGGGGCCCGAGCGTCTGCATCTCTCATAAGCTTCTGTTGCTCTGAGGAACGCCCTGGAGTCGCGAGACCAGCGGTAATGCTGAAAACCTTTTGGTCTCAGCTCTCATTTTGAAAGACTCTTGGTTCATTCGTTTGGTCTTTCAGCAGTGTTTCAGCACGCACCAGACGTTGATGTTAGAACTGCCCCAGCCAGTGTGGAATGCAGAGAGGCAGATGGTACTTGCCACCGAGAGAGAGAGAAAGAGAGAGAGAGAGAAAGCATGTGTGTGTGTGTGTTGGGGGTGGTGGGAGCTGTGGAGGAAGAATGCAGAGTGCTAAGGGAACACAAGGGCAGGGGCCCGGCCTTCTCTTTTGAGGTCGAGGGAAATTCTGCCTGGAGTAGGAAGGGGAACCAGCAAAGCAGATCAAGGAAGAACAGCCCAGGAGGCTGGGGTGGAAGCAGGAGAGTGCAGTCGTTATGGAGCGGCGTTTTCGGGAGGGGGTGTCTACGAGGGCTAAGGACTCTCAGAAGACGGGAGAAGATGGCCGAGAAGTTGCCACTGAGTCATTCACTCATGTGGAGTGAGGGACATTTCTCTGGGTCTACATTTAATTTCTTGGCCATTGCTGGAAATTGAGTTTACTTTTCATTTTGACCAAGTCAGCAGACGTAAAGAGAAACGAAAGTTAATCTTTATTTCACTGTATTGGGTAGTGGTGTGGTGGTGATTCTGGAAACGAAGATTGACTTTTGATATTTCAACTTGGAATGGTGTGAGTGAACACTGTTTTGCTTAGCTTAACTTCTGGGGGCCCTTCCTTTATCCACAGGCCTGGGGAGGAGCTTCTCTGTGCCTCTTCCCTAAGCCCATGTGTGTTCTGTCTCCTGTATTAGAAGATCATTGGGGTTTCACGTGCAGTTTCTCGAGTGTTGGCAACAAAAGCCCCACTGCAGGAGGTGGGGGTAGACAATTGTTTTAAGAAGTTTGGAGAGAGGCAGAGAATGCTCAGTGACCAGAGCTGTTGGAGAATCAGAGAGACTGTTGTTGTTGTTGTTGTTTTTTAAAAGGTGGGAGAGACTTTCCCCTAACATTTTATCCTGAAGAAATTTAAACACAGCAAAGAGAAGAACCTGACAGTGAATACCCACATACTCACCACCTAGATTCTCCTGTTAACATGCCCCACTTATCCGTCGTCACTCCATCTTATCTTTTTGATAAATTTTAATGTAAATTACAAATACCGGTACACTTCCTTCCTCTGAAATAACTTCCACACGTGTATCTTAACTTCAGTGTATGTTTATGGTTATTTTTTCTTTTAAGGTTAAGTTTACATACATTGAAATATAGAAATCATAAGTCTGTATTCACTAAGTTTTACAAATGTGTGTTCCTTTGTAACCCACACCTCCTCAAGACCCCTTGTGGCCCTTCTCATCGATTCTCGCTGCTACCCCCAGCTATTTTTCTTCTTTTGTCCCCCCATGTGTTAGTTTTGCCTGCACTAGACTTTCACATGAATGGAATCATCATGTAGACTCTCTTTTGTGTAAAGCTTCTTTCACTCAGCATACTGTTTTTGAGATTCATCCATGTTATGTGAGCCAACAACATGTTCCTTTTTATTGCTCAGTAGTATTCCATTGTGTAAATATATTAAAACTTGTTTATTCATTCTGCTGTTGATGTACATTTGGATTGTTTTGGGTTTTGGATATTATGATAAAAGATATGAACATTCACATACAGATCTTTATGGGGACATCTGTTTTCATTTTTCTTGATGAATACCTAGGAGTGGAATTCCTCGGCCATAGGGTTATTCATTTTAGAAGATATTGCCGGTACTTTTTCCACAGTAGTCTAACTAACCTTTTGTATTCCCACCAAGTTTGATAGTCCTAGTTGGTCTTTATCACTTGAGAATGTTTTAATGATGAGGGAAGACGCCAAGAGAGGGAGAGAAGCTCCTCATCCATATGTAGAAACTTTTATGCCTTAGTAAGCGTGTTCACACCTTCGCCAGCCTATTGAATGCTCGATCGTTTGGGAAACTCTGATTTGTAAGGTCATCTGTCCTGTTTGATCCCGATGGCAGATTTGGATATGGTTAGGTTGAATGTGTTCTGGTCCTGGAAAGTTTTCTATAAAATGACTTCATGAAGTCAGTTTGCTTTGTTTTGTTTGCTTTCTTCCAAAATAAGGATTTCCTATAAAGGAAACATCAGAAAAAATGTAAGTTGGTCTGGGAAAAGTATGGACTAAATGTAGGAATTCATAAATAAAACTGTAGAGACAGCCTTATAAATCTTGTATGTATAACAGGGCCTGCCAGTGACTCAGCACTGTTTGTGGCTTTGACATTTTAGTGTAGAGCTTACAGTTTCATTGGTGAGGTGAGGTTTGGACTGATGACCTCCCTGGGGGTGGCCACCCCTCCTCTCCGTTTTTATTTGGTTTAGTCCAGGTGCCCCAGGACTAGAATTTTCGCCCTTCCAGCCAGCTGCGATCTGGCCCTCTTGAGAACATGTGCTGGCCATTCTCACAATGCAGAAGCTTTGGGATTTGCACTTCTTTAAAGCATTAAGGATTTCTGCAGTCTTTATAGAAAACTGTTCTTCATTTCCAAAGCATACAGTTATCGTTAGGCAAGCTCGATACTCATTAGCGACGAGGACTTTTTGTCAGCAAGATGACAGCGTGGCTGGGACTGTCCATCTCAGATGTGTGACAGTCCAAAAAGAGGTTTATGTCCTGTGCTAAATAGGAGAGGTGATGCATAAATCGGGCACAGCATAAATTTCATTTACTGCCTTCTTGCTATTTGATATTTTCAATTCCATCAGTAGCTTTTTTCCAAAATATTGTTACTTTTATATAATCTGAAAGTGAATTTAGCCATGGCAGGAATGGCAGCCGCACAACAGACAGCATATCAATTTACAGCAGCTCAGGGAAGGCCCTGCGAGGGCAGGGGGAAGTGGCTTTCGTTATTTCTTGGGGACTTTGTCCTTCAGTTATGCCCGATCCTAGGCAGCTGTGTGTGATTTGCTGGAACTAGCATCGCTAACTTTGGTTAATTTTTATTTCATTGGCTTTGGCATTCGTTTCTGCCTCCTTTTTGGTTTGTTTTTTGTTTTGCATTTAAAAAAAAAAAAAAGACATCAGTGACTTATTCATACATATTCATGCTGAGCACTTTTTTGGGTTGCATTTTCACACCATTCCATGCTCCGTGTAGCTTCTGGCTAGCAAGGAGGACGAAGACATGACCAGAACTGGAAAGGATGATGAGAATAGTTTCCTGAGTGACCAGCATTTGGAGCAAAGTGACAAGGTAGGAACGTGGCAGTCAACTCCAATTCCATCCTCCCCCTCTGTGCCCAAGCCAATCTTCCAGTTTAGAGTGAATCCACTGGCTCTTCTCTTCATTCTGCCTGTCTCGAGTGCCTGCTGGGTGTCAGGGGAGATCAGAGACGCTAGGTCTCTTCCTTCTCAGGAGTTACAAACATGGTGGTAGAGCCAGTCGAGAAACAGCAAGACGTGGAGTTGCCAATAAAAACAGGTTGTCGTAAGAGAGAAACAGGCACTGGATGTTGGACTTGGTCAGATCTTTAGAGATCTAACCCCACCCATTCGTTTTATGCATTGGAAACTGAGACCTCTGAGGGGAGGGGATTTCTCCAGGGCACAGGATAAGTCAGTGACCGAGTTGGGACATGAGCCCATGTCTCCGGACTGATGTGCAGTCCCGGATCATTTGCAGTATAAGGACCCTCTTCTCGGGGGCCCTCTCCAGTCTCCCGACCTGGAACCCAGCTTAGTGTCATATGGGGGCATTGTTGAGAATTTGACTCCTTCAGAGAACGTTCCTCCAGTCACATGGATACCAGGCATTTGGGACAAACATTCTCCGAGGTTGAAAGAACCCAAAGACTGGGATGCGGTGGGACAGAGGAAGCTACAGATTTGGCATTTGTAACCTTCAAGGTGTTTAAGTTCTTGAGGTCATGAATGCGAGATCATTAAAATGTAGGTGGTTTCGGAAAGCAAAGCAATTCAAAGCGAGGGATTTTGAATTAGATCTGATTTTGAGTCTTGGTCTTTATCTTTGTGACCTCAGTTAAGCCTTGCTTAACCCCTAAGCCTGAGTTTTTCCATCAGTGATGATAATAATCCGTCCTTGCTGGAGTTTTTGTGATATTTAAATAGAAAGATATGTACCAAGTGCTCAGTAAATGCTCTCTCTTTGTATTATGATAGTCCAGACTTTTCCTTTTTTGGAGGTTACTTATTTAGATGGATTTAATAACTAGATTGGTGGCAAACAAGACCCTATAAATAATAGCTCATTTGTATGGGTCTTGTCTTCCATTTAAAAATCTTAATCATTTTACAAGTGTGAGAGAGGGGTGTGATGGCTAGTGTGTATATCACCAGCAGTAATGCAGTCAAGGGGAGTTATTTATAGACTGGTAGAAGAAATTTACAGCTTCGGAAAGGGGGGGAAAGAATGCTAATAGCAGTACCTCAAGACATGCCCAGTACAAGCTTTAACTAGATGCATCCTTGGTACCACTCCTCTGGGGCCCTCAGTGACCCCAGAAATTGGATCCGTAAATAACATCTCCCTGGGAATTAGGAACTCTCTGCTTTCCTAATGAGACAAATCAAAGTCATGTTAATTAGGATGTCTCTGTAAAGAGTAAGGCGCCTTTCTGATATATAACGGGGAGGACACATCGCAAGAGGTAGATAGATAATAGACGTCCGAAGCATCGTTCATAGTGTGGGCTCCGTACCCTTCTTAACTCACTCACAAGGAGTGAGCTGGGGCGGTGCGGGGGGGGGGGGGGGGGGTGGGTGTGCACATGGTGGGCGGGACACTGTGCCAGGACCTTAGGTGAGTCAGTCATCTCATTTGATTCTCATGGTCACCTTGGGAGGTGACATTACTCTCCCCGTTTTGTGGATGAGGGAAGTGAGGGTTGAGGAGAAGTGGTGTGAACCTCTCCGTGCTCTTGCAGGAGCATCTGCCTGCCCAGCGACAAGGCACGTGTGTGGACCTGCGAGCCGGAGCCCGCTCTCTGCCCTGTCCTGCTTGCCTTTTCCCTCCGGCTTGCTTGCACTGCTCATTCCCGCTTGGTCTCTTAACCTCTCCTCCACGTACGCCCTTCCTCTCTTCCAAGGTCCATATTTTGACCAAATACTCTGATTTGCAGGTCATGGAGGATTATTCCAAAGGGGGCTGCAAAAACGGATACTTGAAGCACACAGATTCCAGTATTCTAGACTACGATGGAACCCACAAACCTGGCTGCCCCGGAGACCAGAGTCTAGAAGATGGCGAGCTCCTGAACATGCTTGCCCCTTTTTTCAACGAGAAGGCCACATTGTTACTGGAATCCAGGTAGACATGGGGCCCCGGCGTTGCTTTTTCTCTCTAGTTTGAGGGGAGAACAAACTCATTTTGCTAAATGGATTTAGATGGCGGTGCTGTGTAATTTAGCTGAGCGAGCCCCTGAAATGTCTTGGAAGGAATCTTGCCAGTCATGCAATTAAGTAATTAGGCTGTGTGCTAGTGGCTGGGAGGGGACTTCAGTAGAGCCTCGTGCAAGCCCATTATAAAGAGAGAAAGAAAGCTTTCCTCTGAAATTGGTCCTGGGAGCCCTGGGAAGGGCTGTCTGCCTGTCAGCGAGAGGAATCAGCCCTACTGGAATCTCTTCCAGTTCCTGCAACAGCTTAAAAACTGCCATTGTAGTCGTGACTCACTGTTTTATGTTGAGCTTGAACTTCAGTTCTCTTCTCATTGTATCTACTGGGAGTCATCATATGTGAGGGAATACTTCAGGGTGTTTGCCTTAAAACAAAAAAGGAGAAACATTCAGTACATTTGTATTTTTTAACATTAACCCTTCGGGAGGAGATTGTCCCCCTTGCACATTCTTTCCAGACCATCGTAACAGCTGCTTGGGCTTTGGAGCCAGAAGGAGCCGTGCCTTCCTCTCTCAGGGCCCCAGTCTCTCTGACCACTTCCTCGGGTGCCGTGAGGAGTAAGAAAGCGCACCATTTAAGGAAAATGGCAGGCGGGTGGTGTGTGTTCAGTAAAACTGTCCAGTTCTCCTCTGGTGTAGGTAGAGAGATGGAGCCGCTAACCCTTGCCCATGACTCTTGGCAAGAGCCAGGAACCCTACTATTTCTTACATCGTTGGTGGACTAAGCCTCATAGACATTCTTCAGCTAAAAAAGGACTGGAGTGTTCTGTTTTTGTGAGCTCAGGCAGGCCGACCCTTCCCCAATCCCTGGCATCTGTCCAACATTTTTCTAGCTCGTGTCCTCTTGGGGCACCTGTCTAGTGGCCGTTCTGGTTAATTATCACAAGGAGTTAGGTGACCATAGTCAGCGCTTGAGAGAGGGAGGGTTCTCTCAGTGTCAAGGTCCCGAATGTTCCATCAGAGTTTGAAGATGCAGCTCTCTGTGCCTCGGACTGCACAGGGGTGACGTGAGCCGGGGCAAGTCTGGTGGCCTGCAGTGGGCATGGGGCCAGCCGGGGCACGTGTGCCCCCTGCCGGTGGGCTGGAGCTTCTCAGCCCCAGCTGACCTTTGTGGCTCCCAGCCTTCCAGTCTTTCAGTGGAAGCCCCCAAACTATTCTAAATCTCTTGATTTTTAAAAATGTAGACCTAGTTACGTTTTTTAAGAAAGCATTTTCGGTCTGCCGGGCAAGCTTGTGACATCTCTGGTTCAGTTCCCTGTGCCCTGGAGGTATCTGTTCCATAGGCTTCCGGACCAGGTTGGCCAGTTGTAGTGTTAGAAGAGGTTTTCTCACACCAGCCTAAACCTGCAGCCCTGATCTTGTTCTCTGTACAGCTGTCATTCACGGTGCACTGCCAAAGCCCATGACAGTGGAGTCATGGCTCCGCAGGTCCTCCCGGAGGCCCGGCCGTGGTCTGCACCCCCTCCTGGCACACACACGGGGCATCGCGTGCCCAGTCTCATCTTAGCCTCACACCGGCTTTCTGCATGCTGCTCCTGGTGAGCTCCTTTTTATAGAAGTGGGAGCTGACATGTGGGGACTTGACATTCCCTTAGCTAGTAAGTGCTAGAGCCATTGGAGAACTTTCTGGAGGAGCCTTTTACAAAGACTCCTTGGGGTAACCAGGATTTGATTGATCAGAGAAACACTAATCTTCTGCTTAGGAAATCCCTCTTGGCCCCAGCCGCCACCATCTCTTGCGTGGATGCCAGCAACACAGCCATCTCTACTGTCCATTCTCCATAGGGCAGCCATAGTGATCTTTTTTTTTTTTCCCCATAAATAAAGTTTTATTGGAACATAGCCATGCTTGTTCATTTACATACTGTCTGTGGTGGAGTGGAGTAATTACGACAGAGACCATGTGGCCCACAAAGTGTAAAATATTTACTATCTGGCCCTTTATAGAAAAAGTTTTTTTTTTTTTATTACCATTTGCAACGACATGGATGGAACTGGAGGGTATTATGCTGAGCGAAATAAGTCAATCAGAGAAAGACGTGTATCATATGACCTCACTGATAAGAGGAATTCTTAATCTCAGGAAATAAACTGAGGGTTGCTAGAGTGGTGGGGGGTGGGAGGGATGGGGTGGCTGGGTGATAGACATTGGGGAGGTATGTGCTATGGTGAGCGCTGTGAATTGTGCAAGACCGTTGAATCACAGACCTGTACCTCTGAAACAAATAATACATTATATGTTAAAAAAAAAAAAAAAAAGAAGATAGCAGGAGGGGAAGAATGAAGGGGGGGAAATTGGAGGGGGAGATGAACCATGAGAGACTATGGATGCTGAAAAATGGGGGGTGGGGGGATGGGTTAGCTTGGTGATGGGTATTAAAGAGGGCACGTTCTGCATGGAGCACTGGGTGTTATATGCAAACAGTGAATCATGGAACACTACATAGTGATCTTTTTAATAAAACTTAGATCAGATCCGTTCCATGCTTAAAACCTTCCAGCAGATTTCCATTGCTCTTATAGTAAGATCAGAGCTTCTTGACCTGGCGCCTGCCTCTTTCTCTGTCCTCATCACCTACCCCTCCTGTTCACCGAGCTCTGCTCTGCTCCCCAGACATCTAGGCTGGTTCTCACCTCAAGGCCTTTGCACTAGCTGTTCGCTCTAACTGGAATGCTCTTTTCCTAGGTGTATATGTGACTGGTGGTGTCTCGGCTAGACATCAGCTCTGTAGAGAGGACTTTGCTGACCACTAACGGGGAATCCTGCTTCTACACGTGGTGTCAGGACTTCCTCCCTCCCTCCCATAATTCATAGTACTTATCATTGCTGTACATTGTTTTATTTTGTTATCAGTGTTTGCGTGAACATCTGTCTGTCTTCTCAATGAAATATGAGCCCCATGATTCCCTTGCACCATGCATGCCCACTGCCTTACGTGGCAGATGGCAGGTGCTCAATAAATATTTAAGTGTCAGTGGAGACAATTAGAAGCCCAACATCACAGCAGAAGGTGACAGTGGAAAACTGGAGAGTGTAGTGATCCTTTGGAATCAGAAAGATCTGGGTTCCAGTCTTTGTTCTGCAGCTTTGCTAGAGGATCTTGAACCTTTATGAGCCTGTTTCTTCAGCTGTAAAATGGGGTTAGCTTTGGCCCCATCTCCTAGTCATACAGCGAGGCCTGAATGTCGTTGGTGTACTTAAAGGACCTGACGCATGGCAAGTGCTTCACAAATGTCAATTCCTCCCCCCTTACACCTCTCTGTGGCAAAGACCCTCTGGAAGGGTATATAAACAATGTTCAGGCCTCTGACAAGACCCTCGACTGAACCATTAAAAAGGTCCTGATCACGGCAATGGCTTAATGAATCTGCTGTTCAGATTTCTAGCAAAATAACACTTGAAATGTTTTATTTAACAGCACCCCCACTTTAGTATATTCTAATGGCCTCTTTCACCACCTTTTAGTACCCATTTGTAAAGTCTTTTTCCCAGGTTTTATTGTGTGTTGTTTGGTGGTGAGTAACAGTCTTCCTTGGGCTAGCTGAATAGCAATTGTCATTATTTTTAATCTATATTAAGGGAAGGAGAGGAAAGGAAAATTTAGTTTAACAGGCTTAAAGTGCCAGAAATATTTTTAAAGTCTGGGTTTACTAAATTTTAAGATGGTGTGTGTAGTCTAAATGATTCCGTATTAGAAGTGAAAAATGTACCATACGTTCTAATTTTGTTTTTTAAACTTTTATTTTTTACCCTCCTTCAGTGTGCTGTAGCTGTGTGATCTGAATGGAGTTGACTGCCCCAGAGCTAGATGATCGGAACCCAGAGAGGAGTAGGACCTTCTCCTCGCTCCTGGAGGGTTCTGTGGGGAAGGTGGGAGCAGGCCTCACGTCACTTGTCACGTGTAGTGGTAGCTGAGACACGGGGCAGGGACCGTCAGGGTGCGCTCAGGGAGTCGGTCTGAGGAGGCTGGTCTGGGCGGAAGGCAGGCAGGAGGAATGGCGGAGAGAAGAGAAAGCGCGCAGCACGGAGGCGGGCCCCTTCTGTCCCGTCACCGCGGACCGCCACGACCTCAGCCCGGCATGGATGTCAGCAGCAGCTCTCCGCAGGCCTCTCCCTCTGTCCTGGCCCGCTCCGGTCCCCTTTTTCCTTAATTGCCTGTCTCAGTTTCCTAGTTTCTTTCTTCTTTCTAAATGAGTCCCTCTCCTTTATTTTTTAGGTGATTTACACATACTTATGTTAAAATCTTCAGGTTGCCTTATTAATTTAATTTTCTTAAGTGTGAACTCTGATTCGTTGGATTGTGGCCTGTGTGTCGTACCAGTGGGTTGTGTGTGCAGTTTGGTTCGCGGGTGTGGACAGCCCTGCTCTGTCCCCCGCGCTCCTTCCTCCTCCGGTGGGGGTGCTGCCGGTGCCTCTGGCTCGTGAGATTTCCCTGGTTTTCTCCACTGTGGGAGTTAAATTTCTGCCCCCAGTGCTTTCTGCAAATGCCCCCTTTCTCCTGACTGTGGGTCTCCTCCTCTGTTTCTGACCTTTGGATAAATTTTACCTTGATTTCTGTAGTGGCCTATAGCGCACCTTATGGTATTTTGCTGTCACTTATATGTGTTTAGAGCGGAGCGGGAGGGGCTCCTGTGTGTGCTCGCGTGGCGTGTAAACTGGTCCCCATCTCCCACTGCCTGTGGCTGGAGGCCGCAGGGAGCTCTGGGAAAGCCCCAAGGCAGGGGTGAGAGGCAGGGCGTACTGTAGGTGGGACTGTCTGTGTCTCCGGGTGCCGTCCACACAGTGTGCAAGCAGCTATAGCTGGGGTCTGCGGGAGCCTAGGGCACATGGCCAGGGCCCGAAAGTGTCTGCTACCTGTACGCTCTCTTGTTTCGTCTTCATTGCTGTCCCGTGAAGGAGACTTACCTTACTTCTAAAGCATCTCCAAGTTAGAATTCGAAGCCATTTTTGTGTGATTTCAAAGCCACTATTTCTGTTCTGAGTAGTTTGCAGCATCCCTTCATTCAGTACCTATATACTGAGCACTGACTGTGCACAGTGATGGGCCAGGTCACTCATGGGTCCATCAGGTTGACCAGTCCACCCAAGCCATACTCGCCCCTGGATGTAGGAATGGGGCCAGTGGGTGGGTGGGCCTTGTAATTGTCAAGAATACTTGATGACCCTGTTTGCTCCTTTCTAGGCCCAGCCTGCATCCTTACAGCATGTGGCCCCCTCACTTGCTGTGTACTTGTGTCAGATCGATTCTCCTCTTCTTATCCATGAGTTAGACATGGCAGTACCCACCATGTGTGGTTGTCATGAGGTGACATGGGATAAAATCCTCAGTGGTAGATCCTGGCATATGGCAGGTGGTCCGTGTGCTTAGTTTAAACAGACTTTGGGCCAGTCAGTGGAGAAAACGTGGGAAACCGGGTAGGGCATAAGGCTATAGCAGAAAACCTAGTTCTTCCACTTCCTTCCCTTTTGGAAAAACAGGCCAGACCTTCTGAAAGTGCTACGTGAACTACTTCTGGGACGAATGTGCTTGACAGAGCCGGGAGTGTCTGCAGAACACCTTGATGGTAAAACTGAGAAGTCCCTTAAGCAAATGGCTATTCAGCTAAGAGGTGAACTCGGACATTTCACCCAAGTCAACTCATTGTCCAAGTCCCACGATGAACGGAAGTCGCCTCGGACAGCCCAGCTGGGAAGGATGGGTGAAGTGTCCAAGCTGGAGCTGAAAGATGCCTCCGTGCAGACTGTGGCCGCAGAGGGTGACACGCTCAAATTCCAAAATGAGGGCAAGAGAGAGGCTTGGGAAGAGAAGCCACCAGATGCCGTGTTTCACACTGAGGGTCAGCCGGAGAACTCGCGCATGGCACCAGGGAGGCAGGCCACTGCCCTTTCCTTCCCCAACGGGACTGATAAAGTAAGCTTTTTTATTATTTATTTGTTTTCTTATTTTATACCAATGAAAGGCTTAAAAACTCAACTCTGCTCTCATTGCTTTTTTTGATGTATGTAAAAATCTGGTGTCTCCCCCTGCCTGCACTTAGTCTGGCCTCTACCTAGAGGTATGTGTTCGTCTTAACCTTCCCCCTAGCCCAGTCTTATTTGTCTATACATCATGATATTTATGCAGTTTCCTTATAGAGTCATATTTATACATCTGTGTGTAGCTTTTTCTTCCATGCTGTGTATCAGGAACATCTTGCCTTGTAACGGCTCTGTAAGATTCCGTTGTGGGAAATGTGCCAAAATTTGTATGATTTTCACCTACTGGTGGATATTTACGTTTGCAGATTGCAGTGAAATTGTGATAACCTGACTTTAGGAGGAGGGCCAAGAACCTAGGTTTTATCTTGGGCAGACTCTGTGGTGGAGAGGTTCTATTCTGTGGGCTTCATCTACATTCTCTTATCCTGCGACACCCGTCAGAGATGAGGAAGCCCGATTTTGAATGCCCACAGTTTGCCAGCAGTTACAGGGCTGACGGTGCAGCCACATACCCTTTGCCAGGCTAGCCCCAGCTCCTGCTGGCCCAGAGTGGTAGGGTCCGGTTTTGGTGGGGGAATGCATTTTGCTTCAGTCAAGGTGCTGTCTCTGTGCTTCTCCTCAAATACCATCGAATATGCCACATTATTAAAAGCCAGACTCTCTTGGCAGTTATTTGATTGGACCTTTTACTAAAATCCTCATGGGCAGAGGGGTTGGAGTTGATGATCCCCAAAGCAGGGAGATGTCAGTGTTCTGGTGGAGAAGTAGGTCATGTTTCTAATAGAGCTCCAGTGATGGCTGTTGGTGTTCTTGTTTCTGATGGGTGTTTTGTATCTGAGAAATCAGCTGTACACACTGCTTCATGGCATCAGAATGGAGAATTAAGTTTATTTTCTGACCACTAAATTACTGCTTTTGTGCATACCAAAGGGAGTTAGATATATCATTAGCAAAATTGCTTTTGATTGTTTTAAATTATGCACCAAAACTGTAATTTCTAGAAAAGGGTTTTCTAAAGATATTGGTAAAGACAAAAAAAAAAAAAAAAAGACACTGCCATTATATTAACGGTACTCCAGATGTAAATTTGTGCAGTTTGGCTGGAATAGAAATGGTCTCATCTGCCCCAGCTCTATTAGTTTGTACCTGTGTATTAGGAAGACTAGATGTTTTTTCCCCCAGTTTGTGTGGGAGATAGCCTCCGTTGTGCAGAAAAATTGCATAATCGAATGAACTCATTAATTTCCCCAAATATGTTAAAAAAAAATTTTTTTTAGTTTAGAATTATCCTTCTTGCTTGTGTCTTTAAAAGGAAGGCCACTGTGTTTATTTTTTTAGCATCTGCTCTTTGTGCCAGGATTGTGTTAGATATTCTGTATCTGTATCATCACATTTAATCTTCTCAAGTGTATAAGCTAGGTAGGTATTCCCAACATTGTACATATGAAGAAATATAGCCTCTGAAAGGCTCAGAAAATGGTCCAGAGTGAGTCAGCTGTTAAGAGGAGTAGTAGGAATATAGACCAAAGTCCAGTTTTAGAGGCAGACAGGGGTATGCTTTTTTTTTTTTTTTTTTTTAAGTAAGCTCCACGCCCAGTGTGCGGCTTGAACCCATGACCTTGAGATCAAAACCTGAGCTGAGATCAAGATGTTGGTTGCTTAACTGACTGCACCACCCAGGTGCCCAAGACAGGGATTTTCAAAACCTACCTTTCTCAGGAAGGGAGGAGCCCTCGGTGAGGGGTACTATCACAGATATACCTTGATAGCTTCAGGCCTGGCCGCTTACCTTTCTCGGTGGCTCAAGTGGGATCAGTGTGACCTGGAACCGGAGGCTGGCTCAGTGGTGACATGAGGAAATGTGTGGCAGGTGTCTGCTGGTGCCTTGTGCATGGTTGTGTAGGTGCATGTCAGGATCGGTGTGTCTGCATTCCTGTCTCCCTTGCACCCCCAAGTGAGGCGTTCCATTATGACATCTTTAATAAGGTGGTAGGTGGGACTGTGCGCAGTGTCCATAAGGTAGCATTTTGTGTGGTGTTATTTTAGAACCCGCATTAGGTTGACTGACGGCAGTCTTCCAGCCTGAAATTGGCTTCGGCATTTGTGCACTTGCAGATATCTTTTCTCCTGCCATATGACACACAGATTTGGATCCAAGAATAAAGATTGGTGGAGACTGAGGACCAAGCAAATGACTGTTATTTTGCAGTCCTCTTTGATGAGGCATCTCCCCCCCTCCCCCGCAACTGTCACTGGTTCCCTTCACCACCTCAAACTGTCCTTGGCCATGAACCTGCTCTCTGCCCTGGAATTTCGGGGTAGAGTGTCTCACTTTCCTTAACTGAGCAACAGAGGCTGGAGTGCTGTTGTGAGGTCCGGCTGTCTAACCTTCTTGCATGACATTGGGCTGGTTGTTGGACGTCTCAGTTCTTTGTCTGAAAAATAGGCCTGGTAACTTCTATTATCCTGTGAGCTCTGGAAATGCAGAGCTTACTGGAGGATTGTGGGATAGTGTGCTTGAAAGCATTTTACACCCTAGAATGTGCAAGCAGGGCTCCTTCCTCCCTTTTCCTGCTTGAGAGACCTTGCTGATTTCGTCATTCCCAGGGTCCCAGGTATTTCCTGTTTTCTTTTCAGGTTCCTTCTCTTCCACTTAAGAAATTAAAAAGAATAATAGCCTCATTGAGGTATAATACACATATCATACAGTTTATCCATTTAAAGAATATAGTGCAGTGGTTTGTTTTGTTTTGTTTTTGGTATATCCATAGAGTTGTAGAACCATTGCCATAATCAGTTTTAGAACATGCTTAATTATCCAAAAAGAAACCCTGGGGTGCCTGGGTGGCTCAGTTGGTTAAGCCACTGCCTTCGGCTCAGGTCATGATCCTAGAGTCCTGGGATCGAGTCCCACATCGGCCTCCCTGCTCAGCAGGGAGTCTGCTTCTCCCTCTGACCCTCCCCCCTCTCATGTGCTCTCTCTCTCTCATTCTCTCTCAAATAAATAAATAAAATCTTAAAAAAAAAAAAAAGAAACCCTGACCCATTGGCAGTCATTTCCTATTTCCCCCATCTGTCCTAGCTGTAGGCAACCACTGATCTACTTTCTGTTTTTATATATTTGCCTATTCTGGATGTTTATATATATAAATGCAATCATATAACGTGTGATCTTTGGTGACCGCTTCTGCTTAGTGTAGTAGGGTTTTCGAGGTGCATTCCTGCTGTAGTCTATAGCAGCAGTTCATTTCTTTTTATTGTCAAAACGATAGTCCATTGTATGGATGTAGCACATTTTATTTGTCCATTCATCACTCGATGGACATTTGGGCTGTTTCTACTTTTTAGCTATTATGAATAACGTTGCTATGAACATTCATGCACAAGTCTTTGCGTGGACGTGTGTTTTCACGTCTCCTGGGTAAACACCGAGGAGTGGAATTGCAGGGTCATATGGGAACTCTATGTTTAACCTTTTGAAGAACCCCCCGGGCTGTTTTATACAGTAGCTGCTCCTAGTTTACATTTTCACCAGAGGCACAAAGATTCCAGTTTCTCCACAGCCTTGCTGACACTTGTTATTACTTTGATCATAAGCTGTCCTAATGAGTTGGGAGGGGCAATATTTCATTGTGATTTGATTTACATTTCCGTGATGACTAATGACACTGAGCATCTTTTCATGTGTTTATTGGCCATATATAGGTCTCCTTTTGAGAAGTGTCTTTCATACCTTTTGCCCATCTTTTAATTGAGTCAATATTTGTGTTTTTTATTGTTGAATTGTAATAGCTCTTTATATATTCTAGATTTGGTGCCTCTCCCCAACTTTTGAATATATTTAAAATTCTCCCCACTTGAAAGGCACCCCCATCTGGCCTCTTAAGTTATTGTTTGTATGTTCATTCCACAAATAGTTGTTGAGTACCTACTATGTTCTTGTGCTGGAAGCTGTGGATAGAGTATGACCAAGAAATGCAGAGTTCCTGAACCCTGGAGCTTATAGGCCAGTGTGGAAGGTAGACAAGGAACAAGTAATTGCACAGGCATTTAATTATGATGGTACTAATGTTCTCCCTAAAGAGTTGTAGGGGGTGGTGAGTGTCCTTAACAGGGCGGCCTGATCTGGTCTTGTAAATCAAGGCCCATTCTCCCGAGGAAGACACATATGAGTGGAGTCCTGATTAATGTATTGGGATTACGGAAGAGGTGGGGGTGGGCAAGAAAGCGTGTTGTAGACAAAAGAGACAGTGTATGCCTAGGCCCTGGGGTGGAAGGAACACAGGCATTTGAGGAACCGATAGAAGGTGAGTGTGCGGGAATAGGGGAGGTGGCAGAGGGGCAGTGACTCGGGCTGCAGGTCATGTACAGCATGGCGGCTGTGGTAGGGTTTTTGACCTTGGTCAAAGAGACGGGGAAGTGTTCCAGTAGTTGTAAGCAGAGGCGAGGAATGTTAAGTTTGCCTTTTCTGCTGCAGTATGGAGAGTGGACTAGAAAGGGCAGGAAGGGATGGGGGAGGGCGCTCAGGAGGTGGCTGCCATGGCTAGGTGAGTGCCAGCCACGGCTCGGGGTTGGATGGAGGCAGTGGGGGGTGGGGAGAGTCCAGAGAGCTCAGCTGGAATTAATGGAGCCTGGCGAGTGGCGAGAGTGGGTGATGAGTGTAAAGAGCAGTTCGATAGACTCGCAGGTTTGGGTTGCGCAGTGAGGGGATGGTGGTGTGATTCACCAAGACGGAGGGTGTTGAAGCGGCGTAGCTTTGGGGTGGGGACTTGGGTGGTGGATGGAAGGAGCTGAGTGCTGGGCTGGCTTCAGAGTACCTGGAAGCCAGTGGAAATTAAGATGTTGAGGGTAGGCAGGTCGGAGCTCTGAGCCTGGGAGATGGCCACTGGCTTCGTGACTCAGTAGCCACGGAGAACTTAAGCTGGGGGTGGTTCTTGTGGACTAGCAGATTGGTTAGACTAAGGAGCGGGTGGAGGGGTGGGAATGAGGAAATGGGGAGCAAGAAGATGTTATTTAGAAAGATTGTGTTGGAGAAAGGACTGCCATATATTGAGCATCTGGATGTCCACAGAGACAGTGGGCCAGGGCCAAGAGGGTGTCGAGGAGGAAAAGCTTGGCACTTGCCAGTCAGAGGAGGGACCTGCCAAGACACAAATTCTGTAGACTGGGAGATAAACATAGATGCCATTCTAGGAACCAGAAGTCTGGACAGCCGGTTTGAATCCTGTTTTACAAGGTTGGCATGAGAACGTTGCCTCTGTGACCAGAGAAAGTGCATTCATTGTCCTGTGCGTGTGTCTCTTCAGGAAGCTAAGAAGTCCCGCCTGCCCATCCTGATAAAGCCGTCCCGGTCATTAGGAAATGTGCATCGGCTCCCTGTCACCCAGGAGATGGTGGCCCAGCTGCAAGGCCAAATCTTGGAGCTGCAGGGGGAGCTGAAGGAGTTTAAAATCCGCAATAAGCAACTTCACCAAAAGTTAATTCTGGCTGAAGCAATGATGGAGGGGAGGCCAGCGCCAGACAAAACGGTACAGAAAGGTAAGCACTGAGAAAAATGTATTCTCCGTGAGCTAGATGAACGACCTGATAGAGCTGCTTGAAATGTCAACCTTGTTGTTTAGAACTGCAGTAAGTTTGAGTATGAATTTTATGAATTACAGTGATTAATCTTGACTCTTGACAAATACACAATCAAAGGAACACAATAAGGAAAATGAATCTATTTTTATTTTATCCTGGAGTGTGGATAAAGGGAACTTGTAGGTGCTCGCAGGTCTTGTGAGGTCACTGCTCCCTTCACTTGGGATGGTCTGCAGCTACCCCGGCTGTGGGATGACTTGAATCTGGGTGGGTTTTTTTGGCTTTGTCTGTGGAAGCCTCAGGCGTATGGTATCATGTGTATAAGTGAGAACCCTCTTGGTGGGGTTTTCTAGAATGTCCAGGCTATATTACTTTGGCTTCCTCAGGGCTAATTCCAAACCCTATCACAGAGCAGTGTAGGTGAGCACACAGGTAGTGTTGGACCTCGTTTTCAGAGGGTTCATGAGTCCACAGAAGTACACATGTTGGCTTCTGATTTTGAACTTCCGCTGTAAGCACGTGGCAGCAACAGATAATACCAAGAACACCAACAGCAATCTTTTATTTATCTATTCAAAAAGTATTGATGAAACCCTGCTGTGTGCTAGGCCCTGGGGACATAGTGAATAAAACAGATGATCTAAGTCTGTGTCTAGCTTCCTGTTGTGGGGAGAAAGATAGTACGCCAATGAGCAGGGATAGCGTGCGAGAGACAGCAGGTGCTGGGGAGGAAGGGAAAGCAGGGCTGAGGGCATGGGCAATGTGGAGCGGGGTAGAGTGTGCTGCTGTCCGCGGGATCCTAGAGCCTCCCTGGGGAGGTGACATCGGAACACGAACCCGGAGGAGAGGAGGGGAACAGTCAGCTTGGAAAGTGCGTTTTTGGCAGCAGGAACAAGGGCAAAGGCCCTGATGTTGCTTTGAATTTGGGATGTTGGATGACTAGGAAGGAGGCCAATTATGTGGCCGGAGTGGAGTGGGGAAGAGGAGGCCAGAAGGAGGTCAGGGAGGTGGCACATCAGGTGGGCCCGCCGAGGCCGTTCTCAGGCTTTGTCTTTCACTCAGGTAAGACCGGAAATGGAGGGTTTGGAGCAGCGGAGTGATGTGATCTGACTTCAGCTTGAAAGCAGGGATGGGCAAGCTACGGCCTGTGGGCCAAGCTCGATGGCCGTTTTTAGGTTTTCTTGGAGGATCGTGCCACTCACTGATTTGCACGTTGCCCGGGATGCTTTGGCACGGGGATTGTGGAGTTGAGTAGGTGTGATAGAGGCCCTGTGGCTGGCAGAGCCGGAAACGTTCTGTGTTTGGCTCTTGAAGAGATGTAGGCCGACCTGTGCTTGAAAGGATCATTGGTAACACGAACCATCGGGGTGATGGAGCTGTCCTGCCCTGAGGTGGGAGAGGCAGAGACCAGCAGCCGGTGTCTGGTTTGGGACTCCTTGAGACGCCTGTTGACCAGCCGCATGGCGGTGCCAGGTCGGCAGCGGGAGATACAGGGCCGTCAGTTTAGCAAATGTCAACATATTGCTGGTATTTGAAGCTCTGAGACTTGGCGACACAGGGAACAGACCCAGGCACCGAGCCTGGCACTCTCCAGTGAGTAGGGGTTGGAAGGAAAAGGAACAGCCAGGGAGGCAGGGACGGAGCCACGAGAGGATGATATCAGAAGCTGAGTAAAGAGCAGGTTCGCTGTATCCAATATTGTGAGTCAGTAAGACAAGGCCTGAGGATCGGCCTTGGGATTTAGTAACGGGGTGTCATCACGGGTGACCTGGAGGGAGCTGTCACCCTGGTGCGGCTGGAGGCCCGCCTGGCACAGGTTCCAGAGAGCCGGTGCGGGAGAGGAACTGAGATGCCAAGAATAGACAGCTCTGAGGAATTTTACCGTAAAGCGGGGCGGAGACACAGGGCAGTTAGCCATGCTGTCAGCAAGGCTCAGGGGACTTGGAATTGGGACCTTGGGTGACTGCAGCAAGGCAGGTAGTCGCTGGAGGTCTGTAGGAAGCATGAGCCGCAGAGCTGGAGTATTTAGGGAAGAGAGCATGACCTGGAGGTGTCAGCGGAGGGCGAAGGCACGTACACTCTTCCAGGTCTGGGATCACAGGGGATGTGAGAAAGATGGCCAGGGGCTGGACTCCACTCCAGGGGGACAGCCGCAGGAGAAGCAGTGCCGAGGGACAGCCCGGGGCCTTAGAATGAGGGGGCAAGGTGCATGTTCAGGGAGGACACTGAGCTTATTTGGGATTTTATTTTTTTTAAGATTTTATTTATTTATTTGTCAGAGAGAGAGAGAGGGAGAGAACACAAGCCGGGGGATTGGCAGGCAGAGGGAGAAGCAGGCTCCTCACTGAGCAAGGATCATGACCTGAGCTGAAGACAGATGCTTAACCGACTGAGCCACCCAAGTGTCCCCTTATTTGGGATTTTGTCATGGAAGAGTTGGCAGTCTGGGGTGGGAGACTGTATCCGATGTGGAGATTTTCCAGGTGGCTCAGGTCTGGGAGGCGACTGGGAGTCTTGCTCCTCCTGTGTCAGTAATAAGATGAGCTCCTGTTATTTTTTCAGCCTCACTGCTCACTTTAAGTACATGATCTAATGGAATCTTCTTAACGGTCCTTGAGGCAGGAACAGCAATCATCCCTGTTTGAGCATGAGGAAGCACTTTCAGAGATAAAGTGACTTGGCTACGGTCACACTGTCACTGACTTCCGGAGCTAGATTCGAACCGGCCTGCCTGACTTCCCGGCCTGTGCCCTTTACTTGCCTCATAAAGCCTAGCATCTTGACACCCTCCGTATGGATTTTCTGACGACCTGTAGCCCATGGTATTTTCCACTGATCTTTAGGTTCTTCGGTTCACCATAGTGGAGGTTTCAAGATAAGTGGGCCTTTGGCAGTATTGCTCTTCCTTCCCTCCTTCCTTTCCTACTTTCTCTCCATCCATCCATCCTTCCATCCATCCATGCAGACATCTGTTCAGGTGTCCAGTGAGTATTCCCCGAGCCCCTGCTGTGTTCCCAGCCTCATGCAGTGGGTGTAGGAGACAGAGACAGAGAGGACTGAGAAAGTCTCTGCCTTCTGAGAACTCCCTGTCTAGTGGGAATGGGCAGATAATGAAACATACCAGTGCAGGGCAAAATGAGGGACACCTCCAGGAGGAAAGGTCTTATGGCAAAGGTGCCTCAGCCCAGCAGAGGCCCTGGCACTTTGCCCAGGGCTTGCTGTATGCGCTTACCACTGTTTTTTTTTTTTTTTTAGATTTTATTTATTCATTTGAGACACAGAGATACAGAGAGAGAGAGAAAGAGAGCATGAGGAGGGAGAGAGGCAGAGGGAGAGGGAGAAGCAGGCTACCTGCTGAGCCAGGAGCCCGATGCGGGGCTCGATCCCAGGACCCTGGGATCATGACCCGAGCCGAAGGCAGACGCTTAACCATCTGGGCCACCCAGACGCCCATGCGCTTACCACTGTTTTTATTCCTTGCTGAGACACCAGGGTGCCTCGACCAGTTGCTACTCCTGCAATTGCCCAGTAGTCCTTGAGGCCTCTCTCTTCTCCAGAAAAGTGGGCATGAGTCTATAGAATTCATTTTCTCACTCATAGTTTTTTGAGAGCCTGGTATTAAACCATTTCAGACAAGCTGCAGTATATTTATGCTTTTTATGTCCTGTTATGGCAGCTCGATAGATTAATTTTATAAATTGCATTTTGCCTCCCCAGTGTTTTTATTTTCCCTGTTGTATCTTTGTGTTCTTCTCAGTTGCTTGGCTAAGTTTCAAGTCTATGGTTTTATTTATTTTTCCTTCTCTTCGTGAATACCTATAGCCCAGCCCCTTGTGGGAGCAGCCTACCAGGACAGCCCAGGAGAGCAAAAGGGAATTAAAACCATGCCCTGTGTCTGGAGAGACAAGGAAGGAGACAGTGACCAGCGCACCAGCTACGAGACCGGTCAGAATTCAACCCCTATGTGTATTGAACAACTTCTGTGTGCCAGGCACTCCTTGGGGTGTTTCATAGAAAAATTGTTACTAAGCCCCGCAATGGGTATCTTAGGACATCATCATTATTCCCACTTAACACACAAGGAAGCTGAGCTTTTTAAAAAGGATTGATCCAGGGTCATCCAGCTGGTAAGTGGGTCGACGAGCGGGGGTACAGTAGACTGCGTGTCTGAGTTCACCAGTCCATTTGTCATTCTTTTCTCCCCAGCAGTGGGCCAGGCGCTGGCGGGCGCAGTACATGTGCTCAGGGACCCCACGGCCCACCCTGCAGCCTGACGGTTCTCCATGTGGTGCCGGCTGCGTTAGGCTGGCACCCCTGGCCTCCCGCCGCCCAGGAGGGTGGTCGGAGGTGCGCCCGAGCTGCCTCCTGCTGTGCGGGCCGTGTCAGTTCGCTCAGTGGGAAAGGTACAGGGACACGAGTGAGGTCCCAGGCAAGTCGGATCTGTTTCTTCTTAAGCATACAGATAAGCACAAAGGATAATAAAAGAATATTCATGTTCCCATTCAACCAGAATGAACACAGGCGGACATTTTTTCTTTTTACCTTAGATCCACCCCCCTCTGCCTTTGTTAAAAAAAAAGAGTCACCTTTAATCTGGACCTAATTCATTCTGTAAGAACTAATTGTCTTCAGGAATTCTAAATTTATCAGGGGGTGGCTTATGAGAACGCCAGTCTCTGCGGAAGCACTGAGTTCTGGTGTATGCTTTCCCAAGGCCTCTAGTCAGTGCGGGGGGTATGTGGTCACATGCTTCTGAATGTTGGGGGCTTTGAGGAGAAAGCCACTTGACCAGGCAATCTAGTACCCTTAGCTGAATTGTAGAAAGTTCCAGAACTGCAGTATTTCCTTTAATGCAAATAAATGGTCCTGGGGATATCTTTGGATTTCTTGTTTATAGCTAGTTGATTGCTAAGGGCTTCATGTCTGACTGGCAGTTTCCCTTTCCCTCCCAAATCCCCAGCATTAGTGAACTTTCCTTTGTCTGAATGTGCTTCTAGAACTTTGCACATGCTGGTGCCTCTGCCTGAATGATCCCCCTTTAATCGATGCCCTGTCTTTTAGGTCTCTGCTTCTGTGTCACTTTCTAGGGAAGTCCCTCCTGAGTCCCTCAGTTATTTAGACACTCCCAGTAGCCCCCCAGTGTTTTCATCTCGAACTGGCTTGCTCAGTGACTGCCCTCAGCAAAACTGGTACCATGTGTGACGCCTTCGCTGTTCTTTGCTCTTCAGTAGCTCCTTGATAGATCCTTGAGAAGGGAATGCAGGGGATTCCCCAGATGTTATTGGCCCTCACATTTAGGGCTGAGGAAGGTCTCTCCTTGCTCATGCACTCCTGATATGGAAGACCGAAGTTGCAAGAGGGATAGATGCATCAGGAGGCAGCATTCAGGATGTTGGAGGCAGGCGGCCAGGCCAGGCTTTGAGGCAGGGGCTCTGCTGCTTACTCGCCCTGACCCTCCGGCAAGTTCTTATCTCTCTAAACCTCAATTTCCTCTTCTGTAAAATGGGGAAACCAGTGACGCCTCATAGGGTTGTTGTGAAGGCTGTCCATTTAGTCTTCGCGTAGGTGAGGTGCTTGGTGCTCAGCCAGGCCCTGGCATAGTTGTGTGTCCTGAGGCCTTGCTAAACCTGCAGGTTCACCCTGTACACTACAGCTTGTAATCTTCCCTCTCCCACACCGTCCACTGCAGTGATTTTAAATGAAAGATCCACCTTTGGCCCTTCATCGAGGGCCACAGAGCTGCGAGGAGCAAATCAGGTTGCCGTGTCGATGCCGGGCTGTGAGACGTGCTGGATACCGGCCCTGGAGCCTAGAAACCAGATCTTTACCGTGGCTGAATCACAAGCTGCTGTAGATTGGGGGCAAGTGTGTAAATGTTAGATTTGTTGTGTTGTGAGGAGCAGAGCTTAAACAGGAGGTTAAGTGTTGGTAGGAGAATGCACACCATCGTCACCCCCACCCCATTCTGAGATGCGTGTATGTGTGTGTGTAGCTAAGCGTCAGAGCTGGCCATAGTCTGCATTGCAGAAGGACATTTGTGTGGGTCTTACTACACTTGTCTCTGCCTGATGATTACTTAATGAAAATCATGGCTGATCTTTATTCCCCTGAGTGAACAAACATTGTTTCTTGCCAGGAAATTCCATTATCATGAGGTTATTATGGCACAGATAGTTCCTTGACTTGGAAGGTGATTTACCAGAAAAGAAGCCTATTGAGATCTCTCCCTCTGTCTCTGACTGTCTCTTAACACTCATTCAACCAGCAGTTACTTACTGAGTACCTTCTCTGCCCCAGGCCCTGTGCCAGGCCCCGGAGATCAGAGATGAATGACATGTCTGTACCCCGAGAGACCGCTGACCCTAGTGACTATCACAGATTTTGTACAGTAGAAATGCTGTAATAGGAATGCTTCCTTTAGGTCATGTAGCAGCTGCTTTCTAATATAAAAAGTTATTTTATGGTGTTTGCATTGTGAACAGAGAGATAAGAATGGGCTTACAGCCACGAGGAACAGTTACAGAACCCAGAAACTGGAATATACAGTCGGACGAAGATTTTTGTGCGCTCTTCCCTCTGAGAGTTCTCCCAGGCCCTGTTGTCCAACCCATACGGTTGCTTGTGCGGCGTTTGCCCTGGCCCGTCGCCCCTGCTCGCGTGCCGCCTGCCTCCTGGGATAGGCGTCCTCGGTCCGTCTTCCAGTGGTTCGAGGGAAGCAGAGAATATCAGTATTAGTTGGGCTCGTTCACTGCTGTGTGCCAGACTCTTTTCCAGACACTGTCCCCTTTGATCCTCAGAACACAGCCAACACAGTCCTTCGTGGTAAATGCTGTTCTTTCCGCTTTGCCGATGAAGCCACTGAGGCTCAGAGAGGTTAGGTAACCTGCCTGAGGTCATGCAGCTGGTAAGTGGCAGAGCCAGAGTTTGAAACCAGATCTGGTTGGATTGTGAAGATGGGTTTTTCTGCTGTATTCTGCTGCCTCCTAAGTATTTAGACACCCCTTATATTGAGCTGAGCTTTCCCTGGACGACGGGCAGCGTGGGATGTGGTTGAGGACAGAAACTCTGGACTCAGGCCTGAGCCAGAAGTCTCGCAGCAAGCAGCTTAGACATCTTTTGGGGGGAGACTGAGGCTCTGAGACATTAAATTTCTTGCCTGCGGCTGGTGTGTCGACAGCAAGTGGCAAAGCTGGGTGCAGTCCTCCTTCTCTTTGACTTCAGAGCTCTGCCTTCTCTCTGCAGCACGACTCCGCTGCTCACACAAGCCGGGCCGCACGTGTGGCGGTCGGAACCAGCTGTCCGGAGACAGTCCCTGGCGGGGTCGTGCAGCAGGGAAACAGCTCACTGCGGGGACTCGCGGCACTCTCTAAGCTGTTAGACGTGGAAACGAAGACTGTCCTCAGTCATACGGGTTTTAGAATTGTTGCTCTTTAATGTTACTTCACACACTCCCCAGTATTTGTCAGACCTTCTGACTTCCGGTCTGGGTGGTGTACCGTACCAGGCCCCGAGAAGGCGAAGGTGAAAAACCAGTCCCTCCCATGAAGGAGTGAGAGAGGAATCCAAACAACTAATTGTTGTGTAAATAAATAAACAAGCCGGTGTTGTTCCTACGTTTGCACCCAGCACATGGTGTGTGTGTCCGGGGTGATATGTGTAGGGTGCTGTGGAAGCACAGGGACAGTTTGGCCTAGTTTGAAGATGGACTTTTGCAGAAGGAGAATTAGATCTGCGTGTCACAGGATGAGTAGGAGTTCACTGAGTAGGCGTAGAGGACCAAATACGTTCCAGGCAGAGGGAACAGCACATGCAAAAGCATAGAGACACAAAACAGCCTGGTGTGTGCAAGGAATTCTGGGAATCTCCAGTGGTGGTGTGAGGGGATGCCTTTGGGTAGGTTGCCTGGAACTAGATTGTGGAGGGTCCCAGACGCTGTAAGAGGGAGTTTGGCCTTAATCCTCAACATAGTGGGGATATTGATGAATTTTAGCTGGGCGTTGGTGGTTATCATGGTCAAATTCACTTTTTAGAATAGTTGCTCTGAGGAAGAGGGTGGATTGAGAAGTAAGAGGAAGGACTGGAGTCAGAGAGCCTTGTTAGGCTGTGCAGGGACAGAGGGGGTAGATTTCAGCAAAGGAGGTACTGACATAAGTGTGTCTGATTCGCAGACTCTGAAATTTGCCAGCCCGATGACCTTGCCATCTTGCCAACGTGCAAAGGGAATCCTTCTGAAGATTTTCCAAGCCCAACCTCAGTTGCTGCTTACTTGAGTTCTAAGAATCAGCTTTCCACCAAAGTCGGTGTGATTGGGACCCATCAGTCTGAGAACATCAGCACCTCAAGTGACACAGAAAACTTAAAACAGAAAATCTGTGACTTGGAAACTGAGCTCGAGGGCTACCGGAATTTCGTATTTCAGCTTCAAAAGCACTCCCATTGCAGTGAGGCCATTATCACAGTTTTGTGTGGGACAGAAGGGGGCCAGGACGTCCTGAACAAGCCCAAGGGTAGTAATGACGAAGAAGAAATGACGTTCTCAAGTTTGCACCAAGTACATTATGTGAAGCACATGAAGATCCTTCATCAGCTGGCTCCAGAGGTGACCGATGGCGGGCTGCTGGAGGGCCTCAGACAGCAGCTAGTGGAACAGGAGTATGAGCTGCAGAAGGAGCAGAATTTGAACATGGAGCTTTTCAGTGAAATCCATAACCTGCAGAATAAGTTCAGAGATCTCTCACCCTCCAGGTACATCCCACCACTGCCTCTCCCACTCTTGAAGCCTGCAGTTCCCTCGTGTTGCCACTAGGTGGGAGCCCATGAGCTACAGGGGAATGCTGCTGGGCGATGGGGTGGCTTTTGTACTGGGGAAGGCTTGATGTTGGGTTTAGGGCAGCTGGGCCCTGTGGAGAGGTGAACATGAGGCCACAAAGAACAGTGGCTGTACACATTATCATTTTGTGTCTTCTGAAATTGGCAGAGCGGATTTTGCCCTTGTCAGGCTGGGAACTCAGGGCAAAGGTGGTGTTCCGGTCACTCGGTGAGTTGTACATTTGCTGAATGGCAGTGTTTACTCCTGGACCCCATTATTGGCTTTTACTGTGGGACTAAAACTAATGTCCTAGGCAGAGTGGGAAGAAGATAAATATTTTCCATATCTTTACCCTTTCAGGTCATCTTAGAGGAAATAAGCCTGCATAGAAAGAGAAGAATTCTTAGGTCATATTTTACGGGCATAGATATGTACAATTTTGCTTTATGAGCTATGACAAAAAAGCGATCATTTGTAAAGTTGACCTTCATTCGTCACTTATTTGAGACAAACACGTAGTTCTGAATTGTCAGGAGCCAGAGTGAATGTTTTCATGCCTCCCCAAACACCAAGATGGGAGGAAGCTTGTATTTATTGAAAGGCAGTCGTGTCAGACCCCCAGGTAGGCACTTTCTTATTTATTCCTCAAAATCACCCGGAAAGGGGGTGTCCTTAAATGTGTTTCTGTGGATGAGGAATTGAGGCTCAAAGAGCCTGCCGTGACTGAGCAGACGGCCCAAGGATGCCAATGGTGCTGCCCCGAGCCGTGGCCAGTGTGCAGGCCTGCAGTGTCCCACCCTAGTCCTTGTGCTGTCCTCATTTCAGGGAAGGGGCAACATGTTGAACTGAAGGGTCGGCATCTTTGCCAAGCCACGTGGGGGCCAGGTGACTGTGGCCACGGTTAATAGGAGCCACGTTTTCCTTAATTTATGTTTTGCTCCATGCCAACAAGCACTCGTGGGCTGACACAGGAACAGACAGATCTGCTGTCAGGAGGTAGGATTGTACAACAGAGCATGGGCTTTGAGGGCAGACTGTGTTTGAGTCCAAAACCTTCCCCATTTAACTTTGCGATCTCTGAGTCGGGTTCCTCTGTAAACGAGGAGGTGCATACATTTATCCAGAGATTGCGAGGAGCAGTTAACTTATACAGAAAAAAAAAAAAAAAAACACCTAATGCAGTGCCTGACAGGTCATAGACCCTCCATAAATGGTTGTTAGGTTTATTACTCCCTGACCTTTCAGTCAGGAGGAGAGAGTCCTGTTTTTGTGTTCCTGTGTTACAGTTTCTTTTTTGTTCTTCATGAGAATTTGTGGTAGGTCCCCTGGCCCTTGGAGCACTTGTTTCTATAATTCAGAATAATATTTTTGAAGGGCGTATGGAAACGAATTGTCCTCCTGAGTTCTTGCCAGTCTGTACTGTAATTGGGGGCTTTATAAGGTGAAAAATATTGCAGAAGAACCTTTGTTCCAGCATTTGTTGGCTGTTTTGAAATCGAAGGAGTGACCTTGCAGACTTCCCATTTTTCTAGAAGTATGTATACTTGTACAGCAGCAGGCTTTTCAAAATTGTGCTCTGTCATTTTTCCAATTAGTGTTAAGGTCACAAAAATTCAATTCTAAAATGGTACAAGCATTTTCTCTCCCCCCCCCCCCCCTTTTATCAGATACGATTCATTAGTTCAGTCCCAGGCCAGGGAGCTCTCCCTTCAAAGACAGCGGATTAAGGATAGCCACGGCATCTGCGTCGTTTACCGGCAACATATGAACGCCATGATTAAGGCATTCGAGCAGTTGCTGCAGGCCAGCGACATGGATCACTACGCGGCCAAGGGTTTCCAGGAGCAGCTGAATCAATGTGCCGGGCTGCTCGAGAAATTGGAGAAGCTGTTTCTCAACGGTAAGTGGGGCAAGGGATTGCGAGTCTTAAGACACAACGTTTATTGGTCCAAGACTTCTTTTGGAGGGGCCCGGGAGGAACCGACTCCTCAGCGGTACTTACCCCTGCTGTCATGAGGTGACAGCAGAGCCACACTGACTGTTCTTCCTTCCAGTGACGGCTTCCAGGTGCTTGGGAGGCTTGCACCATTCCAAACCCGGCGTCCGGCTGGTGGGGCACGGGAGTGAAGCCGGCTGGGAGGCACCGCCCCAGCACCTGCCCCATGCCCCATGGCTGCTCTAAATTTTCCAGAGAAGATGGAAATCGGGTTTTTGGGGGTGGGGGGTAAGAACTCATGAGTTTTAAATGTTGGCAGCACTCAACAAAAAGAGCAAACAAAAAACCCCAGATGTTTATGGGTAAAAAATATATTCAAGGGTCAGAGGTGGTTAGAGGAAGGATGAAAGAGAACCTTTGCTAAACAGTTGCTGTGTGCTAGGTGCTTTAATAGATGTTATCGCATTTAAATAAAAAATCATTTGCAGTGTTTTTGAGACTAGGATGAAGAGTTCTTTTATACTGTTTGCCCAGCTTCATCAGTTTTGCCATATTTGCTTTGTCATTTTCTCTTTCTCTCTCTCTGTGTATTCAGATCTTCCTCGATTTATGATGGGGTTATATCCCAATAGACCCATCATAAAGTTGAAAATATCATAAGTCAAAAATGCATTTAACACACCTAACGTACCCAACATCATAGCTTAGCCCAGCCTACCATAAATGTGCTCAGAACGCTCACAGTAGCCTACAGTTGGGCGATATCCTCTAACACAAAGCCCATTTTATATAATAAAGGATTGAATATCTCATATCCTACATTGAAGGCTGTACTGAAAGTGAGAAACAGAATGGCCGTGTGGGCCCAGGATGGTCCTATCAGTTATTTACCCTCTTGATGGTGTGGCTGACTGGGAGCCGTGGCTCGTTGCCGCTGCCACAGTCATGAGGGACGGTTGTACTGCCTATCTCTAGCCCGGGAAAAGATCAAAATTCAAAATTTGAAGTGCAGTCTCTACTGGATGCCTGTTGCTTTTTCACACCATCCCAAAGTAGAAAATTGTAAATCACACCATTGTTAAGTCAGGGACCATCTGTATATACACACACATGTGCATATGTATATACATATGTTATTATTATTTTCATTTTTTTTAAAAGATTTTTATTTATTTTTTGACAGAAAGACAGCAAGAGAGGGAACACAAGTAGGGGGAGTGGGAGGGGGAGAAGCAGGCTTCCCACGGAGCAGGGAGCCCGATGCGGGGCTTGATCTCAGGACCTTGGGGTCATGACCTGAGCCGAAGGCAGATGCCTAACGACTGAGCCCCCCAGGTGCCCCTATTATTATTATTTTTTAAAGATTTTATTTTTGAGTAATCTCTACACCCAACATGGGGCTCGAACATATGACCCTGAGACCAAGAGTCACACACTGCACCAACTGAGCCAGATGCCCCCCCCGCACCCAATATTATTATTATTTTTATTATTATTATTATTATTATTATTATGCAGGAGCCCGACATTATCATCATCATCATCATCATCATCATCATCATCATCCCTCCAGGGGTGGACTGGCGAGATCATGTCCCTTTCCTACCTCCCCCTAGAAGTGCCAAAGTGTGTGGCCCCTCACACTGAGGACATTCTTTTATATAGCCACAGTGCCATTATTAAATCCATGACCTAGTATCGTTATCTCATATACAGTCTGTATTAAAATTTCACTAATTGATTCAGTAATGTCTTTTATGAGTGTTATTCCTGACTCCGATCCAGAACCCACTCCCCACATTACATTTAGTTGTCCTCTGTCTTTGGTTGTCTTTAACCTTTTCCTTCACCCTTTGTCTTTCATGACGTGGACCAGTTTGAAGAGTTCAGGCCAATGCCTCAATTTGGGATTATCTGTTGTTTCTTGAGGATTGGATTAGACAAATTCGATGAGATTAGTTATGTGGTTTTGGCAAGAATGCTGCATAAGTAATTGTGTTCTCGTGGTATCGTGCTTATGAGGCACGTACCATCGGTTTGTCCCATTGTTGGTGAAAATAATTTTGATCACTTGGGTGAGGTGATGTCTGTGCAGTTTGTCTGCTATACATGACAGTGTTTCCCTGTGTAATATTTAAGTAATCACTGCAGGGTACTTTGTAATCCTGTAAATATTTGGCTCCTCTTCAGACGTTTACTTGAGTTTTCCTGGATGTTCCTCGCCTCAGCTGTCACTGTGATGGTGGCAACATGGTGATTTTTTTTTCCTCATACCATCATTTCTTCTTCATTTTTTATTATATGGCATCTGCTAGAAGGATGAACTCTCCCTTTATCTCCCCTTTTTGTTTATATGTTTGTTGCTTATTTATTTATTTATTAACATTGTGGACTTGTAGCTTCTTATTTCATTCAGTGGACTAGTATTCATTCTGTCATTCTACTAATGCTCGAATTGTTTGAGATTTGGCAAGTGGCAATTCCTTTTGACAGGTCTCCAGCTTTTTTGGGAAAGATGTTCCAGCCTCACTGATACTGTCCCTGCCCCTGAATCAGCCATTTCTCTAAGGAGCCCTGGTTCATCTTAAAGGGGGGTGCTATTTAAAAACCAGGATTTGGTGCTGGGTGTTTTAATTGCTCCTGGGGTGTCATTGTGTCTAGGCCCTTTAGCAGACAGAACCAGGATATACCTCACATGCCTACATACATATGTGTAATTTATTTAAAAAATTGTTACCTCACAGTAGTGAGTCCAGCCCGTTATAGCCCTTCTTGCTGTTCCTGCTTCCACGGTGTTTCCCATCTCCAGCTGTAAGGCCCCGGCTCTCACATCCGTCCGTGTGTCCGCTCCTGTGCTTACTTCTCTGTAATACACACAAACAGGTCCAGAACCGCCCCCTCCGTACCACTGGAGAGACAGACCTACTAAAAGATCATGATTTGTTCGTAGCTCTTTTTTTTTTTTTTAAAGATTTTGTTTACTTATTTGACAGAGCAAGTGAGCGAGCACAAGCAGGGGGAGCGGCAGGCAGAGGGAGAGGGAGAAGCAGGCTCCCCACTGAGCAGGGAGCCTGATGTGGGGCTCAATCACAGGACCCTGGGAGGGATCATGACCTGAGCCGAAACCAAGAGTTGGACGCTTAACCGACTGAGCCACCCAGGCGCCCCATAGTTCTTTTAGTTTTTAGGCTAAGGGTATATAGTCAGGTATGAAATTGAGAAGTTCTTTGGTTTCATTCTTTCTACAGTGTTGATATGTTATTCATTTGAAATATAATTACTTATTTCTCTTTGTGCTCAGTGTTAGGCTTCCCCTCCCATTTTTACTGATTTAATTTTATTTTTTGAATATGAAAAATATGAAGGTGGTTCCAAAGTTAAAACTTTATCCATTTAAATTGCCTCTATAAAGTCATTATTTTTGTCCCTCTCCTTTATATCCATTAGTATGACTTTCCAGCCCCCCTTTCTCAAACCTCCTGGAACTGGGCTTTCCGACGTCCCAGCCTCTCCGCAGAAACGGCATGTGCCCGAGGCACTGACACCTGCCACTTTACTGAACCCGGCCATCGGTTTTGGGCTGCACCTCCCTCACTTTGACAGCAGAATTGGGTGTGGTCAGCCCCTCTCTCCTGGGGAGATCCTTTCCTCCCTTAGAAGGAGGCTTCTAGTAAGATACCACCCATTCTCCTGCCACCCACTGGCCGCCCCTTTGAAGCTCTGCCTTCAACCAATGCGTGTTGTACATCTGACCAACTTGCACCACCTCATTGCTGCCACGGCTCCGGTTTGCCATGGTCTCCTCTCGTGGGTTTTTGCAGTCCTTGCCCCCCTGAGGGTCCACGTTTTCCCCCATGGCCCACCATGGCCTATTCCCTCACAATAGTCAGCATGATCTTTTCAAAATGTTAGTCAGGTCATGTTCCTTCTGCTCAAGATCAAAGGCTTTCCTTGGTGAGCTGTAAGAATTAAATAACGAGCACGAAGCCTTGACTCAGTGCTGGGTGCATTGCTCACAGGTACTCCGTGCTTGCTAATATCTCTGCCTGTTGTGAGTCGGGAGCTTATCCTCAGAACAACCTGTTTTACTTGGGGAACTTCGCCTTACGGAGGAGAGTCAGTTGCGCAAAGTTATGACTGGGCGAAACCAAGGTTTGGCCTTAGTTCTTTTGTCTTCATACATTACCAAACAGATGGCTCATGAGGGTCCACATATGTTCAACTTAATTCCAAGATAGAACATGGGATAGTTTGGGCTTCTGGGCCCAGGGAATGTTTCCCGAGTTTTCTACAGAACCCAGCAGCTCAGGCCTGTTGTAGAGTGGTTGTCCTAGTACCAGCCCCCCAGGACCTTGAGGCCCAAGGGCACAGGGGCAGTTGACTTTTCCCAGCTTTGTGAAATCCACTTTCTCCTGACTAAGGGTTTGTAAATAAGCTAGTTTTCATTTTAATATTGGAGAAATAACTGGGTCCTCAAGATAGAGCTGTATCTTCCCAGCCTGAGGCATTTTCTTTCTGTCTCTCTCTTCTTCCTACAAGCTCTCAACCAGGGCCCGAGGAAGTGGGAGGCTGAGAGAGAGAGTTCCTCTGGCACCAGCTGCCCTCCCTCACTCATCCAACCGCCCCCCTTGATTTATTTTTTAGTATTTACCTTGACAAGCCCAAGGAGATCTCACTTCTTGTTTCCTGCGGGTTCTGGAAGCAGAAGCATTTCAGGCTTCGCAGACAACACAAACATAGAACTTTATTTTATTGTACAAAAGACATAAAAGTCTCAGGTACCTCACGACACGTCCCATTCTTAGAGAATAAAATGTAACAGAGGTGAGTCTTTCTTGGATGCTATCTAAGGGGTCTGGCTTCTGAATTACGAAAGGAGCCTACTGTAAAATAGTTTTTATATTTGACGTGGTTGCGTAGCATGAGTTCTTAAAAATTTTAAATATAGTCTTTTTTTTTTCTTA